GGTTTGGCTTGTGTCGAGAGGCCTGGCGGTGGGGTCCGGGTCAGCGGCTCTCTCCTCTCTGGAAGGGGCTAAAGTGCGGTCCGAAGGCCCTTTCCTGAGCCCTGCGTTTCAGGACTGTGCGTGCGTGTCAGCATGCCTTCAAATGAGACAGCCGTGGCACGGACGGGAACGTGACACCTCGACACCTGCTGTCCACTGCCGACCTCCTTTTAGCTTTCTCTCAGTTCCCTTCCTCATCCAGCCAGAATTTGACAGAGATTCTTAAGACTTCCTCATGTTGCACAGATTTCTTTTTCCTGGACTGCTGTGGCAACCTCTGAAAAATAGAGCAAATCAAATATATTTGTCTTACTTAAATTTCTTTTTTCTCCAAACCGTTTAACTTAAAAATAGCTGATAGATTTTCTGGATGTTTGAAACTGAGTAATTGATCTGGTGTCTTTAAGTTAAATGAAAACTTAGTCCTGGGTAAAAGTATTAAATTAATCGATGCAAAAGACCAGTAATCAGTGTAAAACATGTATTGATTTACGGGTTTGTGGGACTTCTCTTTCCAGGAGCACACCATCTAAGTATTCTCCTGCTTACACTTCCCTTTCAACTGCCCTAGAGTGCTAACTCAACAGCTTACATGATGTGCGTAAGACATTATTGAGTGCATGTAGCGTGTGAAGCTAGTAACTTACGAAATTACATTATACTTCAGAGAGCTGTGCCCTTGGGAGATCACCCTGTTCCCTCGGCCTTCTTGAAAGAAAGGTGAAGGAAATAGGTCTTGTGGTGAAGGCAAACAGATCAGATGGTTTGATAAATTCTGCACTGAAATTCTAATAAGGAATTGTATGTAAATGAAAATGATATGTTTTCAAAATTGCAGTGATGGACAAGGATTGTGTTACATTTGATCAAATGTGCTATATTCAAATTAGCCTTTATCTCAGCAAATGTTATCTTCAGATTGCATCCTCTGTGCACAGCAGTGACATCTGTGTGCCTCGATCAGTGGTGCCAATTACATGCCTGTTTGCGTTCAAGGTGATGGCTCCGCAGGAAGTGCACAAGAGACACCCCGGCGGCTTTCGAGAGAACAGCTTTTTGTACTGATATCCACAGCCTCCCTTAACTTGGGTTCCATGATGTTCTATTCTATCCTTGGACCCTTTTTCCCAAAGGAGGTGAGACATTTTTGTATCCTTTTGAACTCTTAATTTTTAAAAAAGCCTTTTGAAATATTTCATTTTACGGTATGTAAAATGTAAAAATCTGCATATAGTGAAGATGATATATAGAACTTCAACAAACAGAAGACTTCTTACAGAATATTTGATACTAGAAAAGAATCGTCAGAAAGAACATCATCTTGGGAGATAATTTGCCTAAATATAATTGCCCTTCTGAGGATTACTTTTCTTACCATTCGGTTCGATTAATCTTTATTTAGTTTCTGCAACTGAAAAAAAAGGGAGTGCTCTGAATAACTGAGATTTTAGTGTTACTGCAAAAGATCTATGTTAAGACAGTAACTCTGTTTCCTGGAGTTTTTGGTTTGTCAATATTTTGGAATTAGGAAGACACAGCCCACTAAATTCCCTTTTCTGACTTGAATTTCTTTATGGAATCTAGTGGCAATGTTTGTGCCAAGGTGGAATTCTGATAAATATTGGTGAGTTTCTTCTAATCATAACCTTTTATATGGTGTTAGGGTCTATTGATAATGGCACAGACCCAAAGGAAATAACCCCTAGAGAATCCACCTGGAATCTGGAGGTCCATGGGCTATAGTGCGGAGGGAATGGTACTGGCTTGGTGGAGTGGGGATAATGTGCCATATGTTTTCCGTGGTGCTCTCTGCCCAAGCCTTCACTCACAAGCACTGGCCCCTCAGTCCTCTGACTGCTTTGATAACATGTAGTCCTTCATTCTGTGTGCTACAAAAGAGGATAAAAATGGCCTCTGTGCTAAAGCGACAGCATGACTGGACCCATGCAGTGCTTTTTCATTTTCAGGGTACTTTCCCCCACATCTCTCCCATTTGGTGTCTGCAGCAACTCCATGAGAGAGGCGGGGCGGTGGGAATCTATTTCATCAAGTTGCAGATGAGGAAATAGACTCAGAAGCTAAGTGTCTGGCCCCATTCACTTGTGTTTACTGAATGGGAGTGGGAGGTTTAAGGACTTCCTGCTCTAGAGTATGCTTGGCTTTGGATGTGGTAGGGCAGAGAAAAGATCAGGAAGATGTCCCTCTCTTGTCTGTCCATTGGGAATGAAAAAATACGAAAAAAAAAGTTGCAGAGTATTTGGACAGTCTTCAAGAAAAGCATGTCCAAAATGTTATGAGACTCTGGAGAAAGGAGAAGGGGTGGTACTGACGGGGACTTGGCAGGATAGGGCTAAGGTGGGTCTTGAGAAGTCGTACTTCTCAAGGTGGACGACAGAGGCAAGGCTGTTGTAGGAAACAGCTGGAGTTGGATATGGGATTAGCAAAGTAAATGGCATGTTCTTGGGGAACAGCAGACGACTTGATGTGACTCGGGCCTCCAGTGGGGTGAGGTCTGAGAGGAGGCAGAGATCTGATGAGGCAGGTTGGAGCTAGAATGCAAAGGTCCTTCCATGCATGCCACAGATGTCATCAGTGAGAAGTCATCAGAGGTGTTTGGGCAAGACAGAGTAGCCCGACCAGATTTGGGTTTTGGAAAGAAATAATGTTGGGTGGGAGCCTGTGTAATTAAGATGGAGAAGAACTGGAATAAGTGAACCGACCAGTTAGAAGGGCATTTCCTGGCTCAGCTGGAACTCAGTGAGTGCAGCTAATGTGTGTTCCCTCCTAGTGGAACAGACACAAACTTAAACCAGGTTGCGGGTGTGTTTTTTAAGTTTTTGATTTAGTGTTTTGCTTACAGGAGGGAAGTTGAAGCAAGGAAGACAGAGGCAGGAGAGAGAACAATCTAACTTTGGAAGGCATAAATATGAAGATGGGCTCCTCCTTTTCATGTCTTATTAAAGCCATATGATTGACAAATGCACCTGCAAACTTACCCTTCCTCCTGCGTGCTCTGTCACTCTTCCTATTAGCTAGAGTGTTACAGGCAAAGGAAAAACAAGGCCCTTCTTCTTAAATTCTGGTGCAGGATTCCTGTTTCTACTCATCCTTTTTCTGGCACCCCCTCCTTTATCAGAGGATTACATGTGAACTTGCTTTTCATAGCTGTTCTTGCTTTCCTAATGTGAAGCAAGATCCGCGTTCCAAAAGTGATACTCAGCTGCTGCTGTGGTGTGTGATTCTGGGACATCTTAAGTCACCATCCTGCTTCCATGGGATGTGGGAACGTGCAGAGATGGAGACTGTCATGGCTGCAGTGACCACGTGACCTTTGCAAGTCTGCATCCTCCTCTGTAAAGTGGGGCCAGCTAAAAATGCATCCCTTGTTTAAGTGTTGTTAGAAACTGTGTAAAACAGCACTTAATAGAGATTCTGGCTTTTAGTGAGGGTTCCGTAAATGTTAGTTGCTATAACTATTATATATTTCCTACCAGAATCTAGAATTAAATACTGATCAGATTAAGTAAAGAACATAGATAATGTGACCTGACCAGTGAGTGTTCTTTCTATATCTTAATTGACTCCTTTGATAATACCTTCCCTTTGAGCTACCTGTTTTAGTTTGCTGGGGCTGCCATAGCAAAGTACCACAAACTGGGTGGCTTAAACCACAGAAATTTATTGTCTCGCAATTTGGGAAGCTATAAGTCTAGGATCAAGGTGTCGGCAGGGTTGGTTCCTTCTGAGGGCTGTGAGGGAGAATCTGTTCCAGGCCTCTCTCCTTGGCTTGTAAATGGCTGACTTCTCCCTGTGTCTTTTCACATCATCTTCCATCTGTGTGTGTCTCTGTGTCCAAATTTCTCCTTTTCATAAAGATACAAGTTGTGTTGGATTAGGCCTCACTTAATGACATCATCTTAGCTTGATTACCCCTGCAAAGGCTCTGTCTCCAAGTAAGGTCACATTCTGAGCTACTGGGAGTTAGGACTTCAACATATGAAGTTTGGGGGACACAATTAAACCCCTAACTCTACCTGACCTTTGTGTCATAGAAGTGTAGACTTCATGTTCCAGTCTACAAACACCATAACCTTGTGCTAGGATGCCACTAAAGGTATCTTTATAATGAGATCTCTCTTGTCACCACACCATTCTCTCATGTGGTTCTTAGCAATGGAAGGGGAACGGCTAATTCTAAACGGGCTTAAATCTTGCCTAAGCAGTTCCTACAGTGCTGTAGGTTCAACCTCTGTGCTTCCTCCCACCACCAGGCACTTAGGGACCACATTTCATTTTGGGCGGTGGGGGGAGGGGGCTTCCTAAAGTTTAGCCGAGAACAATAGAGTTCACCTATCTAGCTTCCTGTGGTATTGTGCTATGAGAAATGTAGAGTTTATTTAAAAAGACGTAGTCTGACGTGAACAGAACAAATTTGAAAAAGACAAGGATTGAATGATGATAGTAACTTTACATAGGAGTAAATTTTTATCTTAAAATTATAGTTAGGGAGAAAAGGTAAAGAAATGCGATTATGGCTGTTGTAGAGAATGGATTTTGAAAGGTGTGGGGTGTGTGTGGGCGTGCGCATGCATTTCTGTATTAAGAGTAAAGTTATCTGTGAAAGAGCTGAGGCTCTGGTGAAAGGATGAATCTAAATTGGATCTTCTGACCGTGAATGTTCCCTGCTGGCTCCTGGGTCCAAGGCCTGACACATGGAAGGAGCTCAGTATATGACCGGTGACTGCCTGAGAGGACGGGGAATTGTGTATTTCACGCTTTGCACTTCATAGTGTGCCAACTGGCCAATCCTATCTTAACAAAATTAAACTCGTATTTTAACTCCTTAAGTGGCTACAGCTACAACCTGATGTAAGAATCTACTATATTTCCAGGGTTTAAAAAGTGTTTCAAACCTTATATCTTTGTATGGGAATTCAGTTGTACATCATGACTAATAGTAGCATTTGAAGTTCAAAAGAAGTGATTTAGAATAAATACTACGTCATCTGGAGCAAATTGAGGAGCTCACTGACAGAATAGGCTATGAACATTCATAGATATCATTGATGGGTGATAAACTGCTCTTGTGTTTCAGGAGCACGTGGAATGTGGGAGCAGGAGGGCATCCTTCATCTGTATTGTTGATGTCAGGAAAGAAAACCGTCTTCTCCAGATCGTCAGGTAGTCAGTATTGATGTTGGAAACAGAAAACTAGACTGAATGGGCCGCAGTGTGACTCATATACCAGCTCAAGGAGTTTCCTGTTCTTGAGTTTTTTGACTGGCGAAGTGTTTTTGTTTTTAGTGGAATTTGATCCTATAACTGAATGTGATACCGAGTAGGAAAACGTCTTCCTCCTGTGTGTTTCTCCTTTACTCTCACGCTACTGCCACATTCACAACACTTTTGACACCAGATGTGTTGTGGGGGGTTCCTACATCAAGCAGTTCTCTGTGACACCAGCTGGGTGTCCTGCAACTCAGTTCAGTTCTGACACTAACCAGAGTTAGCCCAGCCCCCACAGGTTAAGGGCTCAGTTCCGTGAGATTGTTCCCCTGCCCCCACTTCAGATGCCAGTTGCAAGTAGTAGGTCTCCAGGTTACTCACAACTTCTGTCTGACTTGTCTATAAATCAGAGGTTCCCATGACCCCACCCCCCCCAGCCACCTTGGATTCAATTATTTGCTAGAGTGGCTCACAGAACTCAGGGAAACACTTACTTGATGCTTGCTGGTTTATTATAAAAGGATATTGAAGGGGAGGAAGACTATCCTCTACCCATTCTGGGTCCTTTCTGGCTGGGCTACAAATTAAATTGACATGAGACCAAACAGCAGGAGAAAATCAAACAAAGTTTAATCACATGTATACATGGGAGAAACCAGGCAAACTGAGTGTCTCGACAAAATGACCGAGGTTCTCTTCTTAAATAGACTTAGGTAAAGACAAAGGAGGATGTTGGGGGTGGTGGAGTCAGCTATGGGCAATTACCAGAAAAGCACTGTAAGGTTATTATGCAGACTCACCTTCTGCATTGATGTTTCTAGCGATGAGGTCGTCACCCCCCCCCCCCCCCAGTAGAGAGAGGGAGATATCTTTACAAATGGAGATTTCCCTTACAAATGTAAATGTTTGGTAAACAGAACTTTGATAAGAATGGGTTTAGCAAGGACCCTCCCAGTCTATTGCTTTTAGGCATAAGTTTGGGGGAAGGTCAAAGTTTCTTTCAGAGAAAATAATCAAGGTAAAGAGACATATTTTGAGGTGGCCAATTTTGATCTCCCACAATATGATAAAGGAGACAGATGAACATCCAGATGGAAGAGGTGCATAGGGCCAGGTATATGGGAAGGGGTGTGGAGCTTCCATGCCGTCTCTAGGCATGCCACTCTCCCAGCACCTCCATGTGTTCACCAACCCAAAAGCTGCCAAACCCTACAGGGATTTTTATGGAGGCTTCATCATGTAGGCATGGTCAATCATTAACTCAATTTCCAACCCCTCTCTGGAGAATGAGGCATGAGCCTGAAAATTCCAAGTTTTTAATCATTTCTTGGTCTTTCTGGTGACCAGCCCCATCCAGGAGCCCACCAGGAGTCACCTCATTAGAACAAAAGACACTCATGCCACCCAGGAAATTCCAAGAGATTTAAGAGCCCTTTATACCTCGTAAGCAATAATTCTCCACTTCCCCCTCCCTGAAGCCTCTGACAACCACCATTCTATCCTCTGCTTCTATGAGTTTGACTATTTTAGATACCTCATATAGGTGAAATTATGCAGTATTTGTTCTTCTGTGAGAGACTCATTTCACTTAGCAGAATTTCCTCAGGGTTCATCCATGTCATTGCAATGCCAGGATTTCCTTTTTTAAGGCTGAATAATAATCCACGGTATGTATATACGACATTTTCTTTATCCACTCATCTGTTGATGGACATGTGGATTGTTTCTAGATCTTGACTATTGTGAATAATTCTTCAGTGAACATGGGGGTACAAATGTCTCTTTGAGACCCTGCTTTCAATTCTTTTGGATATATACTCAAAAGAGGGATTGCTGAATCATATGGTAGTTCTATTTTTAATGCTTTGAGGACCCTTCATACTGTTTTCCATAGCGGTTGCTCCATTCAGCTTTCCCACCAACAGTGTATAAGGGTTCCAATTTCTCCACATCCTCACCAACACTTGTTATCTTTTGTTTTTTTCCGTAATAGCCATCCTAATAGGTGGGAGATGATACTGTGATTTTGATCTGCATTTCCCTGATGATTAGTAATGTTGGGCGCCTTTTCATATACCTGGTGCCATTTGTATGTCTTCTTTGGAGAAATGCCTGTTCAAGTCCTTTGCCCATTTTTTAATCACTTTCTTTGGCTTTTTCCTTTTGAGTTTTAGGAGATTCTTATGTATTTTGGATGTTAACCCCTTGTCTAATAGATGGTTTGCAAATATTTTCTCCCATTCTGTAGGTTGCCTTTTCACTCTGTTGATGGTTTCCTGTTCTGTGCAGAAGGTTTTTAGTTTGGTTTAGTCCCATTTGTCTACTTTTGCTTTTGTTGCCTTTGCTTTTGGTGTCGAATCCAAGAAATCATTACTAAGACCAGTGTCATGAAATTACCCCCCTATGTTTTCTTTAAGGAGTTTAACAATTTCAGGTCTTATGTTTAAGTCTTGAATTCATTTGAGTTGATTTTGTGTATGGGGTAAGATAGGGGTTTAGTTTCATTCTTCTACATGTAGATATCCAGTTTTCCCAGCACCATTTGTTGTGGGTACTATCTTTTCCCCATTGTGTGTCCTTGGCACCCTTGTGGAAGATCAAGTGACTATATATGTGAGAGTTTATCTCTGGGCTCTCTATTCTATTCTGTTGGTCTATATGTCTGTCTTTATGCCAATACCATACTGTTTTAATTACTATAGTTTTGTAATTTATTTTTGAAATCAGGAAGTGTGATGCCTGCAACGTTGTCCTTCTTTTTGAAGACCATAAAGCTAACAGTTCTTTACAGGGATGGTGAGTGAATTATTTTCATGTCAAAGACTATGTTTTAATATATATTCCCTTATTTCCCCACCCAGTGTATTTTAAAATAATAATTTTTGCAATTGCTACACAGATAAAGGTTATAAGAAGATGATGCTCTGATCTAATAGCTCCATTTTTCCACATTGGAAAATTTATCTTTCAAACTTTGTTCCCTTTTCTATTTCTTTAAAGGCTGAAAACAAAGGAGTCAGCAATACAGTTATCGGTATGATCTTTGGATGTTATGCTTTGTTTGATTTGGTGGCATCTTTGGTGTTTGGAAAATATGTAAGTATTAACATTCATATGCACATTTTAATTTTTAAAAATTGTGTAACGAGTTATCTAATTTACTAGTCTAGAATTTTCATTGATATAGAATTAGCCACCATTACATTTTATGACTTGTGCCACTGTTCACAGTTCCATTCTTAGGGTTGATTGATTTTTAACTTCTTCCACGTTTGTAAGAAATGTATGTTTTCATTCTGCTAAAGAATTATTATATTATATTAACTGTACATATCTTTGCCAAGTCTTATATGTCCTGATACAGTGGATTTGTTTATGTGGATATAGACTTGTGGCAGTTATCAATTTACCACTCTTCTTTGACATTTATTATAGCTTGTACATATTGGAGCAAAATTTATGTTTGTAGCAGGAATGTTTGTCTCAGGAGGAGTTACAATTCTCTTTGGGTAAGTCGTGTTCGGATATGTTGGGAGCTTGAACAGATTCATAATCTATCTTCAGTTTACGTTGTTAATGCATTCTTGACGTCAGTCAGTACCATTGATTGTTGAGTGCCTGGCATGTGACTAAAGGCGAAGGGAGTTGGGTGGTGCCGAGAGCAGGACAAATGACATTGATCTTAAGAAAAGAGTCCTCTGGGGGATCACCGATGAGCTGGCTGCTGAGTCTATTTATTAGGACTCCTGTGACTGTGAGTGACAGAAACTTAATGCACTTTTCTGAGTCACAGAAACTTTTTGGCTTAAGCAAAAAAGTGAGTTTCTTACCTAAAGAATCAGTGGAAGAACATCAAGATACAGATGTTAAAATAATGTCATCAGAAGTCTTTCTGGAGTTCCTGGTTTTGCCTTCCTCTTCTTGTGCTGTGCTCTTGGATAAACTTTCCCCTTGTGGTGGCAGTGTGGCCCCCAGCAGGCCGCCCACAGGCCTCCTGTGGGAAGAGAAAGCCACTTTTCTAATAGCTTCTGGTAGAGTTACAGAGGGGAGCCCCACGGGCCTGATCCTTTGTTGATGACTCATCCCCGCATCAAGGTCTCTGTAGCTGAGGGCGAGAATCCTCTGACTGGTCAGGCCTGAGTCACCTGCTCACTTCTGAGCAGGGGAGCAGAATGGTTCCCCTCACTGCAGTTTCCAGAAAAAGAGAAAATAAGTGCCAGAGGCAAAATAGCTATGGCAGTTCTTAAGCTTGGAGTCCTGAAACCAGCAGCACAGTAGAAGAGCTGACGCAAGTTCCTGGGGACATCGATGATCCAGAAGAGTATGGCAAGGTTATAATGACGTAAGCTCAGGGAAGCCTTCCTATCAAATTCAGTGTCTTCTTTTTTTTTTCTTTTTTTTTGGGGGGGGTGGAGGGGAGTCTTCTATTTTCTGCCTTTATTCTTTTTTTTGAAAGTTTGAGCCCCACCACGGGGGAGACCTGAAACCAGGAAGTCTTTCTTCTATGTGGGTTCTTGTCAGAGTGATTCCACATATTTCAAAAGACCTATTCAGTATGATCCTTTAGGGGACCAATTATGTCAGCAGAAAAGCACAACGAAGCTGTTGTTGTAACTCAAATTGTTACAGAAAAAGGTAATTGCTTTCTAGTGAAAGTGTAACCAAGCAACTTTTTATAAAATTCGTAACCTGAAGAGATTTATTCTAATAACGGTGAGGAAGGTACTGCTCCTTTCAGTGAGTAGAGTTAAAAAGGAAAAAAAATAAAAACCAACTTGGCGTTTGCAAATTGTCTTATTCTTTTTTAGTGTGTTGGACCAGGTTCCGGAAGGACCAATGTTTATTGCTATGTGTTTTCTAGTGAGAGTTGCAGATGCAGTAAGCTTTTCTGCAGCGGTAACTGCGTCATCCTCTGTCCTCGCAAAGGCCTTTCCAAATAATGTGGCTACCGTAATGGTATGTATTTTATACATTTTTCCTAGTTTCCTTTTAGTGTAGGCTGAAGTATTTGTTTGATTTTCAAGTTAAAGCTGGGGCCCGTTCTTCTGCTTTCCCCGACTCTGTGTCTTTGTTACGTTTTACCCCGATTTCTACTTCTAGCAGCAGACTGTCAATCAATGTACCCATGGTCTGACTTAGGTCTCTTCCTGGGCTTGGAATCCCTGAACGGTCAGTTTGACAGTAAATGTGGTCCAACGCGAATATTCTTTTTGCCACTTTTTTAAAAAAAAAAACCTCCCTAGAAGTATTTTGCTCTCTCTCTGAAGCCTAGATTGGGTTGGGACTGTCTGAACATTCCTCTGCTTCAGAATAGAGTTATCCCTCGTGGCCGGACACTCAATTTATACTAGAGTCCCTCCTCCACTTCTCCCGGATTCGCAGAAGGGGTCCGAGAGGTCATCTTGGAGTCCGTACCTGCCTATGTGCTGTCGGTCTGAGGACTGCCCTCTTATTTTGCCATGAAAATCCGGAACCTGGTAGCATTGGATTGACACGCACTCTATATATGGCCTGGAAGCCTAGACATTTGGCATTAGGGACAGACCAGATTCCAGTCCGAGCTCCGGCTGCCGCCTCCCCGACCCGAGGCAGGCTCTCCCACAGCTCTCTCCTCTGGACCCATGCGTCCCTGAAGGACCCGTGGTCTGCATATCAGACCAAACACCACCCTCCAAGCGTATAATTGTCCTCTAGACCTCAGGGTCTAATCAGCCTACTACCAAAGACTCCCTCATTTACCCACATTAATGCTATGGTTTGAAAGTTTTGACCATCAAATAAACTACTGGCTGTGTAGATAGTTAGTTCTTCCCACTTTTTTTTATTAAGCGTATGTATAGAGTCACATGGGCTCATTTTAGGTTCTGTAGCCGTTTGGCATATAGTGGTGGCCATTGTGTTTACTGTTTACATTTCCCAAAACTAAATTTCTCAAGAAGGTTTAGAAGAACACTAGTCTGTTGACATGCTTTATAAAACAAGGTTTTGTGGGTAAACACATTTGGAATGTGGATATACTGTCCTCCAACTTAGAGACTTCCAGTTCCCATTAGAGTTTTAAGGCTCTGAGAAGTTCTGTAGTAGAGATGATTTATTTAATGTTCCACAGCTCAGTTTGACTGTGGAACCATCTCTTGACTCCTAAAGAGCTGGTGTTCTGTGAAACACTCTGGAAAGTGCTGCCCAAGAAATTCCTCTGATGATGGCAACAGTCCATTGGATTTTCTGATCAGCAGGGGAAACCAGTTTTGCCGTACCAAGTTTCTGTATAAAATTATAACCAAAAGCGGGGCCAGCCCGGTGGCGCAGCAGTCAAGTGCGTGTGCTCCACTTTGGCGGCCTGGGGTTCGCAGATTCGGATCCTGGGCGAGCACCGATGCACCGCTTGTCAGGCCATGCTGTGGCAGCATCCCATATAAAGGAGAGGAAGATGGGCACGGATGTTAGCCCAGGGCCAGGCTTCCTCAGCGAAAAAGAGGAGAATTGGCATCGGATGTTAGCTCAGGGCTGATCTTCCTCACAGAAAAAAAAAATTGGGCAAAGTACTTGAATAGACCTTCCTCCAAAGGTATACAAATGGCCAACAAGCACATGAAAAGATGCTCATCATTAGTCATCATCATTAGGGAAATGCAAAAAACCACAATGAGATACCACCTTACACCCATTAGGTGGCCACTATTAAAACAAACAAACAAACAAACGAACAAAACCAAAAAAAATTATAGCCAAAAGCGAACACGTCTAGCATGGTAGTTGATCTGGATGGCCTGACTGTGATTCAATGTAGAATTCCTATATTCTTTATGAAACATTGAAAGTTATTTAATGGACACTTTTGTGTCCTCCGTGAGGTCTAAGGGTGTAAGGTTGCAAGCCATGGGTCTCTGTTGAAAGCCTCTCAAATGGTGCAATTTCTGTAATAGTTCGGTAGTAGTAAACTATTTTTTCCATAGCACTAGAAATTTGTTTATTTTCACTTTAGTTAACCAAAAAAAGAATTTTATATGTACAAAATTCAAAAGTTACAAAAGGAAATATAGACTGTAGTGAACGTATTCTATATATTACCATTCCTCAGCCTTAGACACAACTGTTGTCCAGGCTCCCAGGCCTCTATCGCCCTCCCAGAAGGCAACAGATATTACAGGTTTCTTGCAGAGTGATTCGTTATGTGTATGTACGCACATGTACACACACACACACACTCTCACTGAGAAAGAGCATGGTTCCCTCCGCCTATTTTCTTTACGGAAATGGCAGCATGCTCTATACACTGTTCAGAACCTTGCTGATTGCAATAACAATGAAATCATCCTGGAGTTCTTTCTATACCTGTAGATGAAGAGTTTCTTACTTTTTACTTCTCTTTAATGGCTACATAGTACTTCACTGTGTGGGTGTAACCTAGTTTATTTGCATGGTTGATGAGTGTTTAGATTGTATGCATCTTTTGCTGTTGCAAACAGTGCTGCAACGGATAAGCTTGAACATAGGCCGTGTCACACCTTTATGGCTACACTTGTAAGTTAAATTCCCAGAAGTGGCATTCTGGGTCACAGAGTATGTGGGTTTGCAATGTTGATGGATTTGCCCTATCGCCCTCCTGTATTCACTCACCAGCGATGTATCAGAGCGCTTCTTTCCTCACATCCTTGGCAGCACAGTGTTTGATAGGTGATATGTAGACATTGTATCTTGTGATTTAAATGTTCATTTCTTTTAAAAGTAAGAGGGAGCTTCTTTTTACATGCTTAAGAGCTATTCGTATTTCATTTTATGTGTCAGGTCTATATATGGTATTTGCCCATTTTCCTACAGGGTTGTTCATTTTTTTTCTCATTGATTAGTAGTAGCTCTCTTGATATATTTGGAAAATTAGTCCTTTGTCAGTATTTTCTCTCTTTTCATTTGTCTTTTGATGTGTTTTGCCATCGATAGTTTTTTCTATTTTCATGTAATCAGGTTTATTAATCTTTTCTTTTGTGTCTTCTAATTTTTTTTGTGTGTGTGAGGAAGATCAGCCCTGAGCTAACGTCTGATGCCAATCTTCCTCTTTTTTTTGCTGAGGAAGACTGGCGCTGAGCTAACATCCGTGCCCATCTTCCTCTACTTTATATGGGATGCCGCCACAGCATGGCGTGACAAGCGGTGCATCAGTGCGTGCCCAGGATCCGAACCCGGGCTGCCAGCAGTGGAGCGTGCGCACTTAATCGCTGTGCCACGGGGCTGGCCCCTGTCTTCTGAGTTTTTATGTCATAATTAGAGAACCTTTCCTACCATAAGGATTAAAAAACAAAAAAAAATGCCAAGATTTTATTTTTCTAGGACTTTTATGATTTTGATATGTATATTTAAATTTTTGGTCTATCTTGGGTTTGTGTGTTTGTGTGTGTGTACATTGTAAAGAGGATAGAAATTTTTTAGATAGTTCCCATTAAATCTTTACTTGCTAATTCTTTAAAATATATTAACTCAGTTTTCTTTTTTTTCCCATTTTTAGGGAAGTCTTGAGATTTTCTCTGGACTGGGACTTGTGCTGGGGCCTCCGTTAGGTGGCTTCCTGTATCAATCCTTTGGCTACCAGATGCCTTTTATTTTTCTGGGATGCATACTTCTGCTGATGGTTCCACTCAACATGTGTATTTTACCTAATTATGGTAAGACCACATTTATTACTTGTTTTAAGAATCTTAAATTTAAGTATTTTTATGCCATTCTAGGAGACCAACTTAACATATACTCACTTTTATTCTATATAATCAATAATAGACTTCTTAGAGCACCCTGAAAGAACTGATTCTCTTTTCAGAAATGTTGATGTAGGCAATGAGTTTATATGGATTTCTGTCTATCACAAATTCTTTCTGACCTTTGGAACTAGCAAATATTTAACTTGATCATAAACATCACCTTATCCCATGCCCACCAGAGGTCTTCTTGGACTCAGTTCAATATTCAGAACGACAAGTTACCGTGCACCACACACGCACCATCTTCTGACAGGGCTGTAAGAGGAGGGCAAGGGCAGAGCTTCCTTCCCAGTGGTCCTTGCAGCTGCCTGTGCAGCACACCCGGGTGTGAGGACGCGGGGCCATCAGGCAGTAATGAGAGTCATCCTGGCTTCAAAGCCTCGTGCCCCATAGGAGTCAGCCTATCTTGTAACAGCTCCATGAGGGTCTCCACGAGGACCTGCCGGGTACAAGTCAGCACATTAGAGGGGCACACAGTGTGGGGCCCCATCAGGTACTTGTGGTTCAGTTATGGTTCCTTCTGTGCAGATGAAATGTACCAGGCAGGGGTCATTTTTATTATAAGCAAGATTGCCTAGTAACATAGTTGGCATTTTACCCTTATCAGATGACTAGGGGAACAGAGCTAGAGAGTTAACTAGAGAGCTGGAGAGGAGACAGCTAGAGAACGTTGCTGGAGAGGCGCCAGCACACTGAAACACACGGGGTGCTGGTCCTCTTTTACGAGAAATGCAGGTGGTTTCTGTCATCCAGCATCCTGGGCTGTGCTCAGACTTGCTTCACAGATGAATGCTTGGCTGATAACTAAGAAACTGACACCAGGTCACATTCTCATGCAGCAGGGGAAAGAGTTTTGTTAAGCCCTTTACCACACTATATGAGGAAAAAGACTTTGCTTCCTGATTGATGGTAAGATGTGGTATTTAGAACTTCTGTGGTTAGGTGCTGGACTGGCCCCAACATGCTTTACTCCTTGGGTCCCCGCCTGCTCGCCTCATCTCCTCCCCTTGTCCCCACTACTTGGTATCTTTTGCAGCCCCCTCAAATCGCTGCCAGCCCAGTTACTTGGTATTTATTTCTCTTCATTTCTGTTATTCCCCAATTAAAATTTCTCTGCGTCTTCATTGAACTTAACAAAGTTCCACTTAGGTATATTTTTATGAGCAAAATGGTTTGACAAATTTGCTGTTTATCTACAGAAGGATCTTCTAGTTAAATTGAATGGAAATTGATTTATTAAAAAAAGAATCTCTAAGGTTGGGAATGTTAAGGCTATAAATATAGATTTAGGTATTCCTATTAAGGAGTGCTTTTTAAAATGATTGTTTTAGGAGAGCTTATAGATAGAAGGTAGAAAATTAGGTTTTCTTTTATTCTGATGATCTTGGCAGAATTTTGTGTCCTTCTGCACTTCTCTACCTCCTTCTAGACCCATAGACAATGGGGCTTTAGCTTTGGGTGGCTAAGAGTCGACTCTGGTCCCTCCCTCTCCCTCATCCTTTATATCTGCGCACGAAGTCTCCCTTCTGTACCGATCTAAAGAAATATTTCGAACACATAATCATGGACATGTCAATCCTCTTATTAAAAATCCCTAAATCCGTGAAATATGAGCTTTATCCTGGAAGTCAATAGGAGCTGTTGTTAGATTACAGCAGAGGAGTCACATGGGCTGGGATATCTCCCCCTCCCACTCTACCTGACCCTCACTCATCCGTCAACGCTTACTCTGTATGACCTCTTCTGGAAGGTTCTCTGAACCTTCTCCGTCATTGGACTGAGTGCCGAGTAGGTCGTGCTGCAGTGCCCCTCACACCTGAGGGTCCCCCACTTTCCCCCCACCTCCCCATCTCCAACAGTAGCCTCTTGTGGCAGCTTTGCCAACCAGGGAGTCATGACTCTCCAAGAACAGATCAGAATTAGGGGGAGCAGAGAGAGTACCCAAGTAGTTTAGGAAAGCTTCCCAGATGATTCTGCCTTGTGTCTCTTGAAGCGGATATCACCCTAAGTTTTCATGACTTGGGCTTCTTCAGCGGCTTAATTAAACTCGTTATATTTTCGTTTTCATGGACATTCTTATATATTCTTATTGTGATAACCCCCTTTCCCACTTTGGATTTAGAGAGGGGGACCATTTATGCCATAATAGTTTGTCTTATACCATAAATCCATAATGCCTTTTATATGCACAATAAATGTAACCCGTTAAAGTTGATCTTTTATAATTTTTATCTTAAAGGTGACATCTTGAATATACAATTCAAAATCCACACCCAGTGAAGTCTCCCTGCTGGCACTACCACTTTGAGCCACATGGTGGTGCTGGTCCTCTTCCTAGTCTAACCCCACGCTCCTGTGTCTGTGGTGAGCACCCTGGGCTGTGCTCAGATTTGGTTCACCGCTGAATACTTGGCCGATAGTTAAGAAACTAACACCATGGTTTAACTTTATCCTTCGTATCCTGATGAAGTGTGAATGTAGCACTTAAAATAGTTGAACTACTCTGTGCTTTTTTGTATTTTGCTCCATACTGGAGCATTATTCACCAAGAATTTATTGAGGAATGAACCAATCCTTATCCAAACCAATAGCATGTCTGCAGCAGCCTCACAACTGGTTCCCCAGTCTCTGTTCTCCACGAGGCCACAGAGAGGTCTCTTTAAACCATAAATCTGATTCTCGCTCCTTGCTTGAAATCCCTAGTGATTTCTCAGGCTTCTTAGCGTATTTTACAAAGTCCTGCATAATCTTATGCAGTCTGATCTCTTCCCACTACACAAGTGTCCCCTACTCCAACTCCATCCTCCTACTTTGCTTCTCTTTTTTCGTTTCCTCAAACACAGAATAGTGTTTCCTCACTTCTGAGTCTTGGAATGTGCCATTCCTGGGATAAGATGCCTGGGTTATTCTTTCCTCCTTTTTTGCTTGCTTATCTCAAGCTCATCCTTTAGGCACCAGCTTAGCTATTACTACTTTTAGAAAGCCTTTTCTGTACAGCTCTCCCTGTTTTTGTAAGGCAACCCTCTCATATGCCCTAGTAGGTACCTCCTAGTTTCATCCTAGCTCGCCCCACTCCTTCTCGTAACTTCTCTATGAGGACAGGGTCTGCTTTGCCTTTGTCTGCCCAGCATTTTGCATGGTGCCTGGTTCAGCAAAGATTTTATTCAGTAAATTAATTGAAAGATAGGAAAGTCATCAAACAATAGTAAACACTGTAAAACGAAATATAGTTCAGGTGCTAAATTATGTGGAATAGACTAGAAGTGAAGTAGGAAACTAGAGAAAGGTAAAATTTGTGGAATAATTAGGGCCAGAGCCAGGCCTTACAGAGTGAATAGGATTTGAAAAATTAGCAGGGGAAAAAGAAAGGAGTCATAGGGTTTGACTGGAGGCTTGGAAGCATCCATTTCTGGTGCTGGGAGCAATGAAGGTGGGTTCCTGTTGGGGGAATGGGGGCACGTGAGGTGGGTGCTCGATGGACCTTGAGTGCCAAGTGTGATCTATGCATGATTCAGTAGCACCCCTTCCAATCCAGTGTTTCTTTGCCAGTAGAAAGGAAATTGTCTTGTGTCCTTTGATTAGTTCAGATTCCTCCTCAGCACACACACATTCTTCCTTGATGAAGCTTCTGGCCCTTCCCATGCACCAAGTTAAACTTTCATATTCTCTGTCCCTTCTTGGGGAAGGCCTCGCCCGCTTCTAGGTCATAACGTATCACCTCAGACCCCTTCTTCTCCTCACACTCTGATTCCAGTCGATTCTTTTTAAATTTGAGAAATTATTTTTAAGAAAACTGAATGTGGCCTCTAGGTTTGAATAACTTATATGCAAATACAGATAATATGCAATTTTAGGCAAACTCAGAGGTGCAGTTATTTTGATTACCAGGTAAAGATGGCCTTACTAATTTTACTTTTCAAAATAGGTCAAAGATAAAGTTAAGTGATTTTAATCACTCTCATTTCATTTTTACCCCAAAGAGTCTGATCCAGGTGAGCACTCGTTCTGGAAGCTCATCACTTTACCCAAGGTCACCCTCATAGCCTTTGTCATCAACTCGCTCAGCTCGTGTTTCGGCTTCCTTGATCCTACTCTGTCTCTCTTTGTCTTGGAGAAGGTAAGTAGCCTGGTCACCAAAGAGCTCTGTGTTGCAGCAGGTGGATGGGGTTGCTTCTCTCAGGCGCTGCTTTGGGGAAAGTCCTCTGAGTGGCTTCGAGAAGGAGGCAGAATGAGAACAGCACACCGAGGTGGCCTGTACCTTCCCTCTGTGACGTCCTGTAACTACGGTCTGTTCAGTGTAAACGAAGGAAGCCTTTCACCAAGTACCAGGATACTTTCCTCTATTTGTCTGGATCCCAGTGAGGCATTTGGGGTTCTCAATGGCTCATTAATGTGAGGCGTCCTCTGACAGATCTCTGGGTCCACTTCCTTTTCAGGCTATTACACATAATCAGATGACTACAGCCTATATTACTCTGGGATGGGAGAGAGGAACCAAGAGTCGCTGTTCATTTTTTTAGTGCTGAAAAATAAATACTGAATTCTGAAAGTTTGATGTCACAGAAATTTGTTCTTAGATATTTTTGAAAAAAGATGATTAAAAATGCAGTGAAGTGTATTTCCAAGTCTAGTAGTTAACTCTACTAGAGAATTAATATGTGTCTGTAAAAGCAGAAATCTGCTCACTGTAGCCCATAATGACTTTGTGTGAGGCACTAGAATTTAAAAAACACAGTTACCAGAAACGCAACCCCTCGAAGTCACTAAAGACAGTTTTTGGTATATGAAATACCCAAAAAGATAAACTTGGGGACTGTAATTTTAGTGCCTGGCCCAACATTTAGAGAATAATATCATATCGTGCTTAAGCAGTGAGCATGCATGAGGTAACACATGAGAAAAATATTTTGTGTCTGTGGTGACATATTCCATTCACATCATCAATAGTGTGTCTCTTTGAGAGGCGTTTTTCTGTCCTCTTAAGAAGTTGTGTCTAAACAATGAAAAAAATTTGTAACCAATCTCTGGTAAACGAAGTTGCTCATGTCTGTCTTATAAGAAATCTTTACGATGTGTTTTCTTGTTTTTCTATCAAAATTTTTTTATCCTGTTGCCCTTCTCCTGACTTCTCATCAGTTGTTTGAATTGGCAGTTTGCTGTCCAGTCGTTGGTCACCCAGCCTGTCAGGGTGCGAGGGTTCCACCCTGTCTCCCCCGAGTAGTAAGATCAGAAGAGGACATTTCTGACTTTTGTATCTTCCTTCTGTCTTTAAAGGACTAATTTTTAGCATGAGTTAATATTTGTCATAAAAATTGTTAAAACATATACTGATTCATACATAAATCCCATGGGCTTAATTAAGAAAATTAGTTAAAGAAATTAAAGAAAATAGGAACAACTCAGATAACCAAAAAAAAGGCATTTATGTCACGTTGGTAATAGTGACAGTGTAAGAGTTACATGGTAGCTTACCATTTTAAAACCCTTTTCAAATGTGTCATACTGTCAAATTCTTTAATTAGATATTAATACCCCTTGAGATGGATAGAGTAGAGAGTATATATCATCACTGTTTTTTGCACCAGTGCACTCCAGTCTGTGGACAGTCAGCATAACCTGGTGCTTGGTAGAAATGCAGATTCTCAGGCCTCATCTCAGTCTTTTTGAATCAGAAATTCTAGGGCTGGAGTCCAAGAAACTCTTTAACAGCTTCTCTAGGTAATTTTTATGCACACTAAAGTTTGCAAAGCACAGATTTACACGTAAAAATGCTGTGATTCATAGAAGAAAATTATATGTTTAATGTCAAATGCTACAGAGCAAAAAATCTAGGACTTCTGACCTCTAATTAGGTTTTTTCCACATAGAGCAAAAGTAATCCATTTACAAAAGTAAGACAAAGTTTAAGAAGGATGCTGAGTGTCATTAGTAAACTCATGATAGATAACAAGAGCTGACGAAATGGTAGACAGAAGATAGATGCTTATTAAAAAAATGATGGAACCATGTGACTTTAATACAAGATTTCTTTTGCAGTTTAATTTGCCGGCTGGATATGTGGGACTGGTTTTCCTGGGTTTGGCACTCTCCTACACCATTTCTTCACCGCTCTTTGGTCTACTAAGTGATAAAATGCCAGTATGTACACTTAATTTATATTTGAGAACTGCTTTTTTATGTTTAGACCAGTGGTTTTCCAGCTGTGCCTCTGGAACTCTGAAAGCCCATTGATTAAAATTGACATATGCATTTTTTTAAAAATTTCAGCTTTATTGAGGTATAATTGACAAAATTGTAAGATACGTGAAGCATATATCATGATGATTTCGTTTGTGTGTACATTGTAAAAGGATTCCCTCCGTCTGGTTAATTAACACATCTGTCACCTCACATGTTCTTTTTGGGGGAGGAGAGCATTTAAGTTCTAATATATTCCATTTTTTGAGCTGATGGAGAGGTTCCAGTGTCTTCCAACCTACCATCACCCTGAGCAGATGCACTTTTAACTGTTTCATCTGGGAAAAGAGGAGTCTTATGCTAAAACTGTTGAAAAACTGCTGGATTAGACTTTCTAAAGGAAAAAGCTCCCTGGATACAAAAAAATGGGTTAACCTTAATAGTTAGGGCAGAGTCCCAGAGGTCATTAGGACTTGACCAAATTGATAGGAGATAATTTAGTTTTTCTGTGGGAGTGAAAGGATTGGCCACGTAATTGCTTATGCCATAGCCGTCCTGACAAAATCCCTAACTCTAGTCTTCTCGAACTAGGTCTAAACCACTCAGTCTAGATGACTAGGATGCAGAACTAGTCCTGTTAGCCAAATCTCAAGCTTCTGTGGCTTTAGTGCTTATTTTAGCATTTCTTCTCATTAGATTTGTGTATATATTCATCAAGACCTAAATTATATGGAGATTACTTAGTCATCCAGGGGACAAAAAAACAAGTGTCTTAAACAGTGTTCGGAGGTTGGTTTTAAGACGTAGTCTTATATAACTGAGCAGATACTGTACCCCTGTCATTTTTAGCCTGCATTCAAGTGATATATATGGAATCACTTTACTGGGTACTTTTTAAATACTGTGAATTTTCTAAGTCTTGTACCTACTGGGTGGTTCCTTGTGGTGGCTGCTTTTTCAGTTGTCATATTTGGACTAGTTCACTGTGTGTGAAGTCTGCGGTGCACGCCCTTTCCAAGAACCCTGGTCCTTTGCTCACTCACTGTCTTGGGTAGATTGTCCTTGCTTTTGGGTCTACCATCTACCTATTTTCTCTTAAATGTAAAGTTTTGTTTTCTTCAATGAGTTTGGATTTTCGAATACCATGACTTGTTTTCTTCAGTGATTTTTCATATTCTTTGATTATGGAAGGTCTTTACTTTTTACCTACCAAAGAGGTTTTTTGGACTCTCTTTCTATTTTCCAGCACCTAAGGAAATGGCTTCTGGTTTTTGGAAACTTAATCACAGCAGGATGCTACATGCTCTTAGGACCTGTCCCAGTCTTACACATTAAAAGGTAATTTTTTTCTTCTTCTTCTTCTGTATTTTTGGCCAAATAGCATTAGGAATTATTTCAAAATATTTTGGTGTAATGCTGGTATTTTGAACCTTATTATTTAAATGATTACCTTGATTTGGGACTATATTGAATTGTTTGTTAGACTGATGGTATTTCATCTTTAGAAGCTCGCAGTGGTGCAAGCAAACAGGAATGCGTGAAATCTGTATCAAGCGAGAAAAATGCTTATGCTCCCTTTGTGTTTCAATTACACGTTTGTTTGTACTTTATTTTAAAAATAGCATTTGTTGCAACCTACTTTTAGTTGATAGGTCTTAGAGTGCATTTTTGTTTTTCTACTCCTTCTCCTCGCTCCTTGAGGCAGGGACCAAATCTTTTTTGTTACTTATCATCCTTAGCATGTAGCTGCTCATTAAAGCTTGTTTAGTATAATTTATTTGCTAAAGTAAAGTGAGCTTCTTAGACCTTTTCAGGTACTTCTGGGATAAAGCGTGATATGGAAAGAGCAACGATTTCAGAGTCCTTCATATTTGGTTTTGTGTTCTGGCTTCACCACTTAGTAGATATCTGAACTTGGGTAAATCCAAGAGCCTCCGTTTTCTTATCTACAAAAAAAGAGCTGATATTAGTACTGTCGAAATAACTTTCTAGGCCCAAGATGGAGCCGCTTCTGCCACATCAGCAAAACGAAACTTAGCTAACTTTCGTGTCCCTATAATGCTCCCCTGACCAGAAACGCAGTGTGTGCAGTCAGCCCAGACCCCGGGCCAGCTCTGGGCCTTTCACCCCCAACAAGGTGGACTGTGTGGGCCCAGCCAGTCAGATATTTTCTGTTTGTCTCTTCCTGTTCTTTACTTTTTATCCCATAAAAGCAGGAGACTTTCAGCCCATTTTGCAGGTCTCTGAAAGGACACTGTCCACTTCATGGAGTGTTCAAGTTTGTTTGCATCATGGAATTGTCTTCTTTGATCATTTTAAGCAGTGGTCACCTCACAGCATTGCTGCAGGGGTTCAGTGCGGGGGTGGGTGTTGGGTAAGTGGCACACTGCCCAACAGGGAACAAATATTAGTTTCCTGTCACTTTCTTTGCTACTTCCCGTCGTCGCCATTTTTCAGTCAACTGAATTTCAAAGCCAAGCAAAGTAGCAACACTAGCACTGACATCTTCACCAGGTTGACTCCAGGCATGTGATCTGTCTGACCAAAGACATTGGGATATCAGGATGAATCGATTTCCTCCCCCCAAAATGTGAGGAGCTCAAGGGCGCTGTCACTGAATGAAAGGGGGTCAGACTAGTCACACGTAATCTGTGAAGGGAATTTCCCTGGGATCCTGCCCGCCCTCCTTAGCACGCAGCTTTGCGTCTCTTAAAATGCTAATGTTGTTTGTGTTTTTCTCTAAAACTCTTTTGCAGTCAGCTCTGGCTGCTGGTGCTGATACTGGTCATCAACGGCATCTCTACTGGAATGAGTGTAATTCCCACTTTTCCAGAGATTCTCGGTTGTGCATAGTAAGTTACTTTCATTGCTCCAAGAGCTGTATTGTGAATAGCAGCGAACATCACAGGCTTTTTCAAATTCCTCAATTTTGTAGGATGTTGGGTATTTTTTTCACAATACTAAATCTTCATGATTCCATGTCACACGATATTGTGATATAAATAGTATAAACAATAATACAATAACATAAATGATGATGTATAGTACTGTTAATAGGATAATAGGTCAAATCGGTTGTGGATGGAGGCCTGGCTTGGTTTATGCCTTCGTACAGATATACTTTTAAGCCCAAGCACAATGGAAAGGGCTCAGCTTTGTTCCCCTCCCAGGGGGGAGGTCCATACAAGGGCATAGGGTGACCAGCTAAAATGATCTTAGTACCAAGTCCAGTGTGGGGGGTTTCCCCACCCCACCAAGGAATTCTCTGAAACCAGCTGGGTGTCCTGTGATTCAACTCAATTCTGACACTGTTTGCCTGGAGATAGCATCAGATTCCACAGGTGAAGGGCTCAGTCCCACAAGACTGCCCTCCGCTTCAGACGCCAGTCCCAAGTCCAGGTTGTCACCTGTGCTTCTGACCGTCTGGCTCTAAATCAGAGGTTCCCGAAACCCCCTCCTTGGGTGTAGTTAATTTGCCGAAGTGGCGCCCAGAAATCAGGAAACCAGTTCACTCACTAGATTACTGGTTTATTACAAAGGATATTAAAGGATGTGAATCAACAGCCAGATGAGGAGATACACGGGGCGAGGTCCCGAAGAAAGGCACTTCCGTCCCTGGGGAGCTTGGGGCCTGCGCACGTGGAAGCGTGCTGGTTCCCTCATCTGGAAGCTCTCTGAAGCCCATGCTTTTGTGTTTTTACGGAGGCTTTACTATGTAGGCATCATTGATGAAATCACTGGCCACTGGCTATTGATTCAACTTCCAGCCCCCTCCCCCTCCCTGGAGGTGCTGGAGGTGATTGGGACCAAAAGTTCCAACCCTCTAATCACGTGGTTGGTTCCCCTGGCAACCAGCACTCTATCCCTCCTGTGTCCAAAGTCACCTCATTAACATAACAAAAGACTTTATCACTTAGAAAATTCCACCAGTTTTAGGAGCTCTGCCAGAAATGGGAATGAAAACCAAATACATGGTTCTTACTATGAATCACACTATCACACAGGCATTTGTCACTTGGCCATCAGTCTTTGTTTAATCAACATGATTATGAAGAACACGAAGTGAACTTGCGAGGGGAGAATATTGATGGCTACACTGTGTCAGTTCAACAATTCTCGTAGGAACAAGGAGCTGCCTCCCTAGTTCCTAAAAGTTGCCCATCGTTCTCTTTACATGTTCATCTCATTTTAAGAATTTCTTAGTTAATTATATATTTTTATGAGCATTCAATGCAAACAGGTCATGATTCTTAATCTCATATCCTTATGCAATAAAATCATTTTTAGAAAACTATGGAGTAAAGGTAACTGAGAATTCCTTGAAATTGGATTAGCTTTTTATCTTAGAAGTGGAGTATTGCAGTGGGTTTGTCCAGACTATCCCTGGTTGATCTGAGTTTGTCTGTCACACGCTATTCCTTTTTCTCACGAAGGTCTCCCATTTAATCACGGGTATGCTTTTGTCGCTCTTTGCAGTGAAAATGGATTTGAAGAAGGATTGAGCACACTGGGACTCGTGTCTGGTCTCATCAATGCAATGTGGTCAGTTGGGTGAGTAGCTGTTGAATCGCATTCACGCCTGCAAGACGGAAAATACTATCTCCATTTCACAGATGAAGAAATTGAGGCACCAAGAGGTCACATGAGCTGCCCGAAGGCCTGTAATTCATTGAGGGCAGAGCTGGAGTCCTAACCCACACCCTCTAACTCCAAGATCAGCAGTTTTAATACTAATCAAAATGGTCTGTTATACTTTGTCTTATTTAAGTGATATTTTTAAGTTCCTTTAATAGGAGCATGTCTCAATTTTTAAAATGTATTCATTTATTCATTCGTTTATTCATTTTTTACTATCTACTATACCAGAGGGATAGACTGTATGCTGGCCATATAGATATCATCAATATCTATGTATGAGTTAAGTTGTTTTAAATACAAATACTGAGAAGAGAAAAGAGAATAATATAAAGATTCTTTCGAACGCATGGCATCTTTTTAAATTTTCATATAAGGCACTGACTTTTCAGAAGCAGTTATAATTTAGAATTGTTTAAAAATTTTAAACATCATTGTTATCAGGTAGAACTATTTTCTTATACCCAATGCTCTGTCCAGGAATTGGCTGCTTTCTTTAGTATTTACAGTTCCAATTTAATGAAGACCTGTGACTGAAGGATCATGCAGCCTTTTCCTAAAGGAAAAGTCGCTCTTTTTTTGTTTACACTATTTAATACTTTTCTTCCTTTCATTGTTAGTGCTTTTATAGGACCGACGCTGGGTGGATTTCTGTATGAGAAAATTGGTTTTGAATGGGCAGCTGCTGTCCAGGGTCTGTGGGCTCTGACAAGTGTGAGTCACCAGTCTTCGTTTTCATTTTCCCTATGTTTGTGCAGAAGCTTGACTTGGAGAATTGACATTAACCGGTACCTTTATTGGGTTACAGGGACTGGCGATGGGCTTGTTTTACCTCCTGGAGCCCTCGAGGAGGAAGAGGTATGGTCAACCCTGGATCTTTCTTCTCCCTTTAAAAGTCAGCTTGTGGGAGTGGAAAAGAAATGCCATTTTACATCCATTCTTCCGGTCAGCAGATTTCTGGGCACTCTGAGCCTCATCACTTGGTGGACGCATTTACCGGGATAGCTGGGTGGAGATGTAGGGACTGAGTTGTTTTTTTTCTTAAGATGAGAAATACTGAGTTTCTCCTCTTCTTTCCTTCAATGTAGATCTAAACTTCAAAATATCCTCAGCACAGAGGAGGAACGAACTGCTCTCTTGCCTGATGAAATCCAGCCTTAAGAATCCGGATTGATTCAGGGTTGGGAGATGGATGCTCCTGGCCTGAACATCAAAGGTGGAAGGGTTTTCTTCATTTTACGCGCAAAACTCCAGGGACCCCGTACCAGGATCCTGGACGTGTTAACGCATTTTTGGATGATCCTGTGTCGGGCTGCACTTACTGTTGTCCTGAAATGCTGGCTTGCTGAACCAGCCATATTTGAAACATGGAGTATGAGAACAGTGCTTGACAATCAGCAAAAGTTTATGTCTTTAAGTGGCCAGACTTGTCATTGAGGATGTTCAGTTCCTCTCTTTACTTCAATTCCTCTCTTTACTTTTTATTCTAAGTGCACTGATTATGTGAATGTACCTTTTCTTACTAACAGGGAAAGAAACGAATAGATTTGATATGCTTAAAAATAGCATAAAGATGACTCAGAATATACAGAATAATCGCTGTGAAATCAGTTTTTAAAAGACATGCTTTCTCTGTGTCCTGGGATTTGTATTCTTGTTCAAAAGACAAAATTCCAGCCTACCAGGCAAAAACTATCGCATTCCTTTCCCCTCAGCTCTTCTAAAAATTTTGTTTGTGTGAAAGGGAAAAGAATAACATTTCTTAACACTTCCATTTTTGTAATATCCTTTGAATTGTGATCTGAATTTATAAACAATGCGTGGTATAACCTTATTCATTTCCCTTGATGTCTCTGTTTCAGTTCTACTGTGTTTTTTTTTTTTTTTTAAACATACTCCTAGTAGTTGTATCCCATTCCCAGGGTGAGGGAGCCCCCCGGGAGGCTTGCTCTGTGTCGGGAAGGGGATCCTTCGACGTCTTGTAGAGCCCGAGCAGTTGTTGAAGTGAGCGCCTCTCTGTTGTGCAACTCTCGTACCTCCTGACCCATTTGCATCGTGGAGTAGCCACGTTTACCGTTTTTTTAAATAGAAGAAACGATTTTATCTATTCATTAATTCAAAAATATTTACTGAATGTGTTCTCCGAACTGACACTGTGCTTGGTGCTAGGGATTTAGCTGTGATCAGGATAGACACAATCTCTGCCTTTCTGGAACTTTTATTCCAGTGGAAGGGAGAAATAATAAATAAACACTAGAATCTCTAATTATCTTACAGAGATGCTATGAGGAAAAACACACGGTGATATGAAAGAGTACTTGGCTGGGGTTGATTGGGTGTGGGGCCCTAATCTAGTCACGGCCTCTCCATGGAGGTGGGACTTTTGAACTGAGATCTGAAGGACAGAATGAGGCAGCCATTCTGAGTGGGGAGCAGTCCCCAGCATGTGCACAAGGGCGTGATACGTCACAGATGAGATCATGGCCCACACCGGGAGGTATGGAGGAGCCAGCCTTTAAATGGGGGATGCCAGAATTTGGTTCCTATTTCAGGAAGATCATTGTGTCTGCATCAGATGGTGAGTGGGGATGTGGATTAGCGGTGTTGTAGGGAGATCTTTGGAAACTTAGAGAGAGACAGGAATGGTTTGGACCAGGGAGGTGGTGGTGATGGAGAGAAGAGGGTGTGTTTGGATGTGGAACCCACAGGACTTGCTGATGTGGAGGGAGAAGGAGAGAAATGGAGGATGACTCCTAGGTTTCGGCTTGCGAGTCTGTGTGGATGGCTGTGCCTCTTAGTGAGATGGGGAAGAACAGGAGCAGAACAGATCCTCACTGGGACAAGTTAAACCATGATGGGATGCCCTTTCATGCCACCAGAGGGAAAAAAATGAAAAGGATGAGAATACCAACGTTGGGGATGATGGAGAGCAACTGGAACTATGACCGTCTCGGAAGACTGTTTGGTATTAATAGCTAAAACCGAATACTCACAAATCCCATGAACTCTTCGTTCCCCTCCTCCCCCGAAGCTTCCCTTTGGTCATGAGACCTCCAGAGTGTGGTCCAGTGCGCACCCGGCACAGTGACCTGTGACCCCTCCCCCGCCTCCCGGAGCGGCGCTGCACCCCTCTGGGTGCGGAAAGGGCCAGGCCTCGACCGCCCTGGGTACATTGCCCTGGCCGCTCTCCAGTGCTTTCCTCCCTCCGAGCCGGCTCCTGCCCGGCGGGGGCGCCGGTCCTCCGCCCAGGGGCCGAGGATGCTGCGGGACGCCCGCAGTGCCCACTGCTGCCGCGCGGGGCCTCTGCTGTTAAAGCACCGCGGGCGTCGCCAGGCTCCACCGCCCCCGCCGCCCCACCGGCGTCCGTCGCTCAGGACCGCCAGCGTATCACCGTTACCAGCGCTGTTGACTGTTCAAGGTCAACGCAGAGATTCCAGGCTTTGTTCCCGCTCCCAACACGCCGCCTTCAGTACGTGCTGCGGATACCAGTGTATTTAAAGACGCTTTGTCGAAACCAACTTTGCCCCGTCCTCATTTTATGGTTTCGAAGTATTAAAATAAATGACCAAAAAAAGTTAAAAATATGAGGAAGGATAGAGGAACTGTGAACAATGAAACCAAAATGTAGGTCAAAACTATCAAAGGAAATCTGTGGGTGTGTTTATATTTTTATGTATTTATATTCTTATTAATGTAACAGATGTGCCCAGCTTAAAAGCACCCTGTTTTAAAAATGAGACTGAATGTAGAATATGATAATAATAATTAAAAGGTATCTTTTATGCCAAGATCATATTGCAACCTATACATATATGAGATACAGATTAATCCGAAGGAAAAATAAAACGGGCAAATAAAAAATCACAAATCTTTTTTTAAATTAAACTTTTTTTATTTTGAGATAATGATTGACTCACATGAAGTGGTAAGAGATAATACACAGAGATCATCTGTACTCTTTACCCAGGTTCCCCCAGTGGTAACATCTTGCAACACTGCAGTACACTATGGTAACCAGGATATATTGATGGAGTTAACATACAGAGACATCCCCATCCCTCATGTTGACCATGTTGCCACACCCACTTCCCTCTCCCCCTCACTCCTTCCTTAATCTCTGGCAACCACTAATCTGTTCTCCATCTGTATAATTTTGTCATTTTAGGAATGTTGCATAAATGGAATCATATAGTGTGCTACCTTTTGGGACTGGCTTTTTCATTCAGCATGATGCTCTTGAGATCCATCCACATTATTGCATGTCTCAATAGTTCATTTCTGTATGTTGCTGAGTAGTATTCCATAGTATGGATATACAGCTTAACTCTTCGTCTGCTGAAGGACACCTGGATTGTTTCCCATTTATGGTTGTAACAAATAAAGCTGCTATGAACATGTACAGATTTTTGTGTGAACATAAGTCTTCATTTCTCTGGGATAAATGCCCAGGAATACAACCGCTGGAGTGTATGGTAGCTGTATGCTTAGTTTTTTCCCCAAATAACCCATCTATTTTACATAGGAAATTTGATTTAGACAATAAATATTAAATATCATACATTAATGAAATATTCTATTTACTAGTAAGTTATGAAGATTTAAATATGTTAAAAACCCTCTCAAACCTAGCTGGCAAACAAGGTGGATAATAAATACTGACATAGCCAACTAATTTTCATTGAATACAATAATAAACGAGAAGTAAAGAAGCAGATATCTTTTATTTATAAACCATCATATCAAAAGGGAATGTTCCTGGGCCGGCCTAGTGGCTTAGCGGTTAAGTGTGTGTGCTCCGCTGCTGGCGGCCCGGGTTCGGATCCCGGGCGCGCACCGACGCACTGCTTCTCCGGCCATGCTGAGGCCGCGTCCCACACACAGCAACTAGAAGGATGTGCAACTATGACATACAACTATCTACTGGGGCTTTGGGGAAGAAAAAAAGGAGGAGGATTGGCAATAGATGTTAGCTCAGAGCCGGTCTTCCTCAGCAAAAAGAGGAGGATTAGCACGGATGATAGCTCAGGGCTGATCTCCCTCACAAAAAAAAAAAAAAAAAAAAAAAGAGAGAATGCTCCAAAGACTAGTCCCATGATAGTTATCTTTCATTTGGTATGGCTGTCGTATGTCCTCAATTTATGAAATAAACGCACAGGAGAGTAAGGCTCAGAAACAATGTATTTAGACAGAAAAAATAAAATGTTATCTAAAGTATTAACAACTGGAACTAAAGCCTGCTTATTCAGTCTTTCATTAGGAACAACTTGCAACTCTTAAATATTTGCACTAGCTTCTCTCAGCAGATCCACAGCTCCACCTCTAGTCCCGGGTTATGTGTAGTGGAGGGTCACAGGAGACAGTCTGGACATCAGGGTGCCCAGTAACCACTTGTGATTCACAGTTTAGTGCAATTTCATCATCACTACCTAAATAAAACACTCAAAGGGATTTTCTCGTTGACAGTTGTCAACAATAGCACGACAAACACAAAAAGTAGTACATTATCCCTTTCGTTTTTGTCATTCAAGTCAAATTTGAATACCAAGTCAATTTAATCACATTATTATATATTTCAAAAATGACAGCCATGAAATCAGTTGTTGGATGAATTCAGATAGAGTTTTTTCCTTTTAGGAGAATTAAAACCAGTGTAGATAAACGTTTTGTTTGAACATAGTACTAACACCTTTCCTTCTTGCCCTGTCAGAACTTTTCACTGTATTCACTTCCTCTGCTGTTGTCCATTCTGCTCCACAATTACTGGGTTGCTTTTGCCTCTTTCGTTTACTCATCCGATAAGGATCAGAGTCACATGATTGTTGGAGAGTCCATTCCTGAGTAGGTCCAGCCTCTAGATCTGGAACAGGGGTGGTTAGAGAACAGGGATGGATGTGCATTAGGAAGTGGCACTGTCACCTCACAGTAAGGAACCTGTAGCCACGGATTATATGCATGCCACTGCAAACTTCCTGAGAGAAAGCATGCTCTTGAGGAAAAACAGCATTATTAATTGGAAAAAACCACATGGGAAAGGAGGATCAGCCCACAACTTCTTCATTCCTGTAGCTGGTGAATTTGTTCTAACACAGCTCTCAGGACTTTGGTTAGTTGACTCAGAAGAGCGAGAACCCCCAAATAGATGCTGCACATTAACTGATCTTCCATTTAAACGAATTCCACTTAGCAGAGCTACGGCATAAGACAGGTTCGGGGTGAAAGCAGACAAATGCAAGACATAAGCTTTTCTTCTCTGTCTTTGCACAAAGCCACTTTGGTTAATGGCCCAGCCTATAAGAAACTGAAGAAACAGCTCCTAAAGAAATTCTTCCCGCCCTGGGATCTCTAAATTCTCCACAATGTCCCATCATCCTCTTCCTGAGCAGGAAACAAGAGGCTGTAGGGGGCGCTGTGAACTCCCTGCTTCACTGCGCCACCCTGGAGGGGTGAGGCTGAGATTAGTTTCTAAAGAAACTGCCAAGCTGCTTCCCAGAGTGGCTGCACCATCTCACAACATTCCCAAATGCAATATATGAGTAATCCAGTTTCTTGGTAAGTTTTTTTTGTATGTATGTGAGGTTTATGAAAAACGGAATGACGCATGAAGTAAGGAGTGACAGCTATGGATCCGAGGGAGAATCTAGGGAACAGCTGGAGGAAAGGCCGTCAGGATTGACTAGTAGAAATGGACTTTAGGTAGATAATTCCAGAAGAAACCATTCAGGTCAGGTTAACGTAGAAGAGAAGGAATATGAAAGACTTTGTGAAAAGAGACAGAACAATGAGAAATAGAGAATGTGAACTAATCGTCATTCTTTTAACAAGTTATTTGGCCAAGAACAGATGGTCATCTGACCGGAGAGACTCACAGACCTGGGTCAAAGTTGCACAGGGCGTTGCCCTCACAATAGGGCTTCCATCTTGTGGGCATGAGGCAATAATAATAACAGCAAAACCTAGCACATATGATCACCATTTTGCAGCTGAGGGAAACGGTGGCACTAAGAGGACAGAACTTGCTCGTAGTCAAACAGCGAGGAAGTGGTTCAAAGCCAGGCATTCTGGCTTCAGGTCCGTATCCTGGCTTCAGGTCCGTATCCTCGACCATCGCCTGATACCATCATGACTCATTACTACCGTGGGAACAAATTCATGCCACGTAAGTTAACAGTAATTAGATGCAACCGTGCAGAATATAGTTATCTCTACCTGGAGGAAAGTTCTAGAGTGGATCTGTGTTACAGTAGAAGAATAATGTGCTAAAGAGAAAGAGTATGACATGAATTCAAGAGTCAACTTAGGCCTCGAGGAATGGAAAATGTCCAGCTCTGTTACTTCTCCTGGCCGTTTGGTCGCTGTTCAGTAGAAATCATGTAATTCCATCTGGCCTGTGTTACCCGGCCTCTGTGACTGCTTGAAAGAAAACCCCAGAAATCACAGTTATCAGGCTAGGATGAAACAAATACGCCCTGTCCTGGGGCCTGACTAAATGGCAGAATCCTCTGGCCAGCTGCTGCCTACCTAGAAAGTAAACCAAAACAGGAATTCGGGGTGACTGAAGGGGCCAGGGCCTTGGAAAGAATAAAGCTGACGGGATCCAGGGTAGTGAAGGGTTTCACCAGACAGAACCTGTAAATAGTTACCTTAGGCCTCAAATATGCTTTTGTACTTTCTTGCTCATTGAGAATGAACAAGGTGAATTCTTGGGATGCCCTCATATTGCTCAACAAAGCAGTAAATGTACCACAGATAAACATTTTTCTATTTTTAATCTATCTTTTCATTTTTTTCTCCTATAAGTACCTGAGATTTCAGGTTTATTTTTGTATCCTACCCTTTCAAATGAATGTTTCCCCAGCTGCCTGCATATATCAACAAGTGACTTTCATCCAGCTCCTTTGGGTTTTTTTCAGTTGTGGCGTCCTCCTTACTTTACCAAAAGCTTTGAATCCAGCTGTTTTAGTCCATTTGGGCTGCTGTAACAGAATACCATAGGCTGGGTGGCTTATAAACCACAGAAGTATATTTCTCACAGTTTTGGAGGCTGGGAAGTCCAAGATCAACGTGCCAGCAGATTCGGTGTCTGGTGAGGACCTGCTTCCTGATTCATAGACCACCGTTTTTCACTGTGTCCTCATTTGGTGGAAGGGGCAGGGGAGTTTTCTGGGGTCTCTTTTATAAGGGCAGGAGTCCTATTCTTGAGGGCTCCACCCTCATTACCTAATCACTCCTCAAAGGCCCCACCTCCGAAAACCATCAACTGAAGACTAGATTTCAACATTTTGGGGGGACATGACCCTCCAGTCTATAACACCAACCAAGAGACTTTTTAAAAGTTCATGTTGGTGAATGCTATGCACTTTGGGCAGAGTTGTATTAGAACTAAGTTAACAATCTGCAAGTGAAATCACCAAGAGAGCTTGTTACTGTTTTTCTTTTGAGAAATTGGGGGCCCGCAGTGTGGGAGCATGCCACCAGTTCAAAGGGGCTTTCACAGCTCAGCATGCTCCAGTCCTGAACTTCTGGGAGCAGAAAGCATAAGGGCAGGTTGAACCACATGAAATTGCTGTTGCTGTAGGTCAAAAACAGTTGACTATTGGCATCTTCCCACGGCACAACCCTTTCTATCCAGTAGAGCATTTAGGGAATGCCAGGACATGACGTATCATTATGCTCAGATTCTCTCTCTCTCAGCTTCAGTTGCCTCAACTGTCTGAAGAGTTGAACACCAGTCCAAGTCCAGAGCTGGAAGAACACCTAGCCTGGGTGCGACCTGGCCCCAAAAGATGGTTCAAGTTCAGGCTGCTTCTGCTCAAGTTCAGGCTGCTTCTGCTCAAGCAAACGTTCTCTTTCTAGGAGGCTGATTCAAACAGCCTTGCTGAAGACATATGCAAGACTCCAGTGGGGGCAAGGATGGAAACATTGTTTTTTTACCACTAAGTACTTTGTTTGGATACAGTATCATCCTTTTTTTTTTTTTGGTATACAGTATCAAGAGAAAATAGCTTTAAAAGAAGGTCCTGGTTTTTCTGTTTTTCTTCTTATTTTGATGTGTCATCCTTGCTGCCTATGAGGAAATTCTGTCAACAATTATATGTGCTATTTCCAACTCTTCATGGCTCAACTCACTTATGTGTCATTTCTTATCTGGAAAGAGGCCAGACCAGGAAGTCCTTTCGCCTGGGTTAGAGCCTGGAGCTGCTCCTCACCATCCTGTGGCTGAGTTCCTTGGTGTCTCTGCTGTGTTTCCACTGCATGGCAGATGTGCATCTGCCATGTCTGGCTTGGCATGACCCAGAAGTTCATGCTCAGGTACGCTGTCCCCCACTTCATCCCCAGCAGTTCTCCAGCACAGTACCCCAAATAGACTAGATCTGTTTAATTGAACAATAGTAGTTCTGTGGGCCTAACAATTAGATAATATTAAGCAGTCAGGATCATTACATTACTAAATTGTCACCCATTTTTGTTAATTATTGTCATCCCATTGTAATCTTACAGGGAACTTGCATGGGTCTTTGACTCTCAGAATAACCTTGTGAAGGAGATAGAGCAGGTACGATTACCTGAGAAATAGAGGTTCAAAGAAGTGGATGCAAAGCTGAAACCACACTTCTACTCTTCTTACTACACACTTAAAATCCAGCTCAACTGAGTACCACCCTAAGAGACAATCAGACTCACAATTAGAAACAAGTATTTGAGCTACGATTGTTTTTTCAAGTTACTCTTTTTTTTTTTTTTAGATTTTATTTATTCATTTTTTCCCCCCAAAGCCCCAGTAGATAGCTGTATGTCATAGGTTCACATCCTTCTAGTTGCTGCACGTGGGACTCGGCCTCGCGTTGGACGGAGAAGTGGCGCCTTGGGGCTTGCCCGGGATCCGAACCCCGGCCGCCAGCATCAGAGCGCGCGCACTTAACCGCTAAGCCACGGAGCCGGCCCTCAAGTTACTCTTTTACAAAATAATTTTGAATTGATTTTAACTTTTCACCCTTATAGCTAAGTCCGTTAGTCACACGATGGTAAGCCAGGAAGGAGGCTCTGTTAGCAGTGAATTATAATTAACCAATGTTCCCTGTGGCAAAGCAACATCATTTTATAACTGAGTTAAGTTAAAGAAGTTAAGCCTTACTTAATCAATCACTTTTATGATCATTAAAATGTAAACTATGGACGTTCTATGTCCTGAATTTGGTTTTTTACTTGTTTTAAAACAAGATCAACTCCCTCTATGGCAAATGTTTGTAAAGATCATGCACTTTTTCTTTCTGTCTTTAGGATCTTGCTATATTTAAGCTGCTGTTTCATTTACTAACTTCTGACACTTCCATGCGATTACCTTTGTTATCCAGATTCTCAGTTTTGATGAAACAATTTTGAAATGCAGCAGAGAAAAAAGGGAGTTCGGTCATCTTGGTTTCACCTCAGAAGCTGTATGCCCTTTCCCTGTCCAGCCAAAAAACTCTAATTAACACCACTTCTCTATTATAGCCACAAAGTGAGAAAAACATCCAGGAAATTTGGGGACATGAAAATGTGAAAGACAGACGTGAACATTTCTGCTCCTACCTCCAAAAGTAGAGATGTTAGCTCGTCTTCACCAGCTTACCCGGCTACTTCCAGGCAACAGAGAGAATGAAGTATTACTAATTGGTGAGATTAAGTCACATGAAAGCAGATTATGATCCAAATTATATTTGGAGAGATGGAAGAGAAGAGCTTAAGGATCTTCATTGGGCATCAGCTGCATCAAGGATTCATTCAGCATTTAGCAGATCCACCTGTGGTCTCCTTAAGGCGGTCATTTTGAATTGGGTGCCTTAAAAGATGCAAATATTCAGACACTTGGATGCAGACATTACACTAGAGCACAGACACATGCACACTGTCTTGGGTGTACAGGGAAGATTCTGGAATCAGGAGTGGGGAGTCGTACACCTGCTCTAAGTCACTCTGGCTCTCTGTGCCTCAGAGTTCTGTCCCGTAAAATGTGGGCATTTGAGTTACATGCTCTCTAAACTCTAAATACTTTCATAATCTACTATACAAAAATAGATTATATACTATATATATATTATAAAAATATAATTAGTATATTATATACTAATATACAAACTATTTATACAGTATAATTACATACTAATAATCTCTTATACAATCTGCTAAAAATTCATAAAAATAACTATCCCTTCACGTTTTCCACTAAAGGGCTTGACCATTTTTCTAGAAATTATTTTCAGTATTCTATTCTATAGAGGTAAGAAGTCATTTCTTTAATAAAAAATTCTACTCAAAGCAGAAAATATGAGGAGACCTTGTTTACAGTCCTTAGACCTCACCCTGACCAAGAATTTTATCTTAGTATAAGGGAAAACATGGAAGAATTTTATTTATTCGTTTATACTCGTCTATGCTGTCTAAAAGTATTTGAATGACTTTTACCAAGAAGCTCAGATTTAAAAAAAAAAAACAAAACTAAACCCTCCCATGGTAGGATTGAGACAGGCGAAGGGAGGAGATGGATGTCCTAGGAGGTTCTCAGAGGTCACATAATGTACATGTTTTTTAAAAAACTCGTTTATGTGGTTATTTGCCTCTAATAAAAATGAAAGTTATATCTTATTTGACTCGAAACAGAAATGATCTTTCTGACCACCAGCCTGAGACACTTCCCCTTCTCTTGCATCTGTTTCCAAAGGAAGAAAGGAAGAAGGAAGGGAGGGAGGGGGAGAAAGGTAGGGAGGAAGCTCCGTCCCCTGAGGGCTGGGGCTTCCCAAGGAGAAGTTCTCAATTTCTCCTCTGGCTGGACACCAGGAAGCAACACCTGCAGAATCAGGGCTTGGACACTGAGGATGCAGCAGTGAACAAACCAGACATAAAATCTTGCTTTTAGGGAGTGCACGTTCTTCATCTCTAAAAGGTAAGTCAGAGTGTCAATTTGGGTGAATTTCATTCCTGATATTGTTCTGTAGTGCATTCTCCTAGTATTGACTATTTTAAAATTTTTCTCCTCTTCTAAAAATAAACTTGATGTAAATAATTCAATACAACAGAAAAAAATTGTTACCTAGTTTTTGTAATTTAATAAATGAAATGTTTGTGGTATTACGATTTTTCTTGTGAAAGTTAAGTTACTATTTTCCTTCTATTAATACAAGAGGACAACTGTACTCTATTTGGTTTTTGAAATTTGACATCAAATCTCATCAATGGTGCATGTTGTATAATCCTTACAATACTTTTTGATTCTATTCATTGAAGTGCATTTTTTTTTCCTCTGATGTGGTTGGGCGAAATATTGATAAGATTATAAAATAAGAGCCCAGTAGCTGGCAGTCATATGTTACATCAATGTTCCCCTCTGTAAATACTACATGAGTGTTACTTTACCTTTCAAAACTAGAAATCCTGGCCATGATCGCTTCCTCTTTTCGAACCTCCACGGCCATTTTTGCCCTAATTATCCTGCGTGTCGGGGCTCTGGAGACTTTCACAGCTGCGGTATATGAACACGCTGTCATACTGCCAAACACAACAGTTACACCTGTTTCTCTGGATGATGCCTTGCTCCTCATGAACAAGAATATAGATAATCTGGAGAGAGCGATTAAGCAGGCTGCTAAGCAGGTACTCTTTTATTTTTGCTAACCATAATTTATGGGAGGGACACGAGAGCTGGTGGAAGATTGGAGTGTTGGATTGTCCAGGTTGCACGTGGAGAAATCATTTGGATTTGACTTGTTTTGGACAGGGTGCTCAAATCATTGTGACTCCAGAAGATGCACTCTATGGATGGACATTTACCAGGGAAACCATTTTCCCTTATCTGGAGGATATCCCAGACCCTCAGGTGAACTGGATTCCATGTCAGCACTCGGACAGGTATTTTAACTATCCTAGTTGTTTGTGCAGAAATGCTGTAATTCTCTAAAATATGCACATTCACCCCAGCAAAGTGCTAAATCCTGAATAATCTGTAAGTGGTGTATGTTATGGTTGTATTTATCTTGGCATTGGTTAGATTAAAAAAATTGTACTTTGATACCATTTAACAATCATTTGTTACTGAATATCTTTATTAAATTTGCAGAAAATACGTAAATAGGATTTTATTACTGGGATTAAAAACTAAAGGAAGAGGCTCTCATGGATACTAGTTAGTCAGTTAATTTCTGAAGTGGACAGTGGGTTGTGTTTGGAAAATATTCCAAGGTCTCTATTGAAGGTAACGTATTGCAATTTTATGGAGTCTGTTCCAGAATCTGCTTCCCAGGCAGAAAGACCTTCCCACATACTTTCTAGTGAATCATAAGGAAGACCTTACACTTTGAAACTTTGCATTTTCCTGGGCTCATGAAGCTAATTTTCCAGGGAAACAGAAATCTAGAAACTTTGTACTATAAAATATTTAATATATATGTGTATGTTTAATATATAAATCCCGCTGTCTACTAAGACTTGAAGATTAATTAAATTATTTAGGTACAGATCACACACTTCCATATTTTCAGTAAAGGATCTCTCCCTCTTTCACACTCCTTCTCTCTCACCTCTCACTCTCTCTCACCCTCACACTTTCTCTCACTTTTTTACCTCCAATTAAGTTTACTAAACATTCCTCTGCCATGTTCTTGCTGGAGGATTATGGATACCATGCTTTTTTAGGCACCCCTGGTTATTCTGATAAGAGTTTTCAGGAAATGGCTTTTCCTAGCTCAGGAGAGATTAACTACACAAAGAGGACAACACTGGGTTTCATGACAGGGAAAAGTTCCATCTTCCCATCCTTCCTGTTTTGAGCCAACACTCTCTACCGTGTTTGTAAGAAACTTTCTTTTGTGCCAGAAGAGAGGCCGATAGCTGGACAGTCTTTCTGCATAGAAGTTTTGAGAATTGGGACAACCCATTTGTTTTTCATCTCATAGTAGGATTGAGTTCTGAATTTCCTGTTGAAAACAAAATATGTTGCAAATTTATGGATGAGTCAAAGATCACAGTAGCTATGGAGACTAGTGAAGATAGGGGGAGAGGTTTATTCCATATGGTTAGTAAATATCTCTTGCATAGCCCTAGAATGGAAGGAACAAATTTTGAAAGAAAATGGTCTTGCATCATCACCAATATAGTCACATTTAATTCATTAATCTTTTTATTCATTCATTCAACCATTATTTTTTGAGTATCTACCATGTGATAGATTCTATTCCAGGAATAGGGGATATAGCACTTAATAAAACAAGTCTCCACCCTCCTTGTGGCTTATGAATATTCTAGAGGACGAAGACAGATGTAAACAAACTCAGGTATTACATAGAATGTCATATGGTGATAGAACAAAGGAAATGGTGTGCTTGGGTGGGATGAGGTGTAGGGCCTATTGTGGTTATTCTTTTATTTGGATTGATTACAGAGCTTTGAGTGAGTATGGCGTCAGTGCATTGGCAAGGGAGAGAAATTGTGAGATGAGGTCAGAGAGGTGCCACACTGTGGGGATGGTATAGATTATGTAAGGTCTTGAAGTTGGTTATAAGAACTTTGGGTTTTCCGCTGAGTGAGATGGGGAGGCACCAGAGGATTTGGAGCTGAGGAATGATCCCATCTGACTCATGTTTTAAAAGGACCACTCTGGCTTCTGTATTGGAAACAGACTAGGTGGGCAGTGGCACAGCAGGGAGACCATTTAGGAAACTATTGTGATTATCCTGGTTGGGGCGGATGGAGCCGGAACTGGGATGGAAGAGGTGGAGCTGGAAAGACGTGGTCAGATTGTAGATATGTTTTGGGTGACAGGATTTGCTGCCAGATTGTTTGTGGGGGTACGAGAGAAAGATACACCTCAAAAGTCACTCCCAAGTTTTTGGCCTGAGAAACTGGAGGCATGCAGTTTCCACTTACAGACATAGAGAGCAGTGAAGGAATAGCAAGTCCAGGATGGAAATCAGGAAATCAATTTTGTGCATCTTACATTTGAGCTGCCCTTTAAGCATCCAGGTGGAGATGTCAACCTGGCCATTGCATATACAAGTCTGGCACAACAAGACAAGGTGAGAGCTTGAAAATAGAGATGGAAAATTGGAGATAGAAAATGCAGGAGTGCAGATATAGGTGGTTTTTAACGCTGTGATGGTTTAATCTATGGAGTGAGTTAAAGAAAAGAAGATATCTAAGGCTTGAGGTCTAGGAAATTCCAATGCTTAGACTCAGGGGAGATGAGGAGGAACCAGCAAAGGAGACGGAGAAGAGCTGCCAGTGAGGAGGAGAATGAGAGAGTGGGCTCCAATAAGCAAGGTGAAGTGTTTCGAGGAGGAGGGGTGATGAAGTGTGTCAGCCGCTGCAGGTAGGTAGCACGAGATCAGGTAAGATGTGGAGGTCATTGCCGGCGTTAATAAGAGCTGTCAGTGGGACGAGAGAGACGGAAGCTGCTTTGAATGCTTCAAAAAAGAATAGGAGAGGATGAGCTGGGGACAGCAAGATGGCCAGCTCTTTCAAGGAGTTTTGCTGAAAGAGGAGCTGAGAAATGGAGCATTAATTCAGACTGGCATGTGGGGTCAAGAGAGGTTCTCATTTTATTTTTTTGAAGATGAAAGGTATGAGAGCATATTTGCATGTTGATGATATGATCCAGTGTAGAGGTGACAACCGCTGATGCAGGAGAGTGAATAATGCATTTTCGGGGCAATAGATATGACATGGAAAAAAATTCATCAAGTTTAAGTATAATTTGTGACTTTTTTGGGTGTGTGTGAGGAAGATTGCCCCTGAGCTAACGTCTGTGCTCACCTTTCTCTATTTTGTACGTGGGCCTGATGAGCAGTGTGTAGGTCTGCGCCTGGGATCTGAACCTGCGAACCCTGGGCCACTGAAGTAGACTGCATGAACTTAACCACTACGCCACTGGGCCGGCCTCAATTTGTGACTTTTTAAATATGATCTCTATCATGTCACATAGTTATTTCTTTTTTGTGATGAGAACAATTAAGATCTAGTCTTATAGCAACTTTGAAGTTTATAACACTGTGTTGTTGTCTATAATCGCTATGCTGTGAATGAGATTTCCAGGACTTCTCTATTAGTTGCAAGTTTGTCCCCTTAAGCAACATATTCCCAATTCCTCAACCCCCCAGCCCCTGGTAACCACCATTCTACATTCTGTTTCTATGAGTCTCGCTTTTTTAGATTCCACATGTAAGTGATATCATACGGTATCTGTCTTTCTCCATCTGACTTATTGATATGTCTTAATCAAAATTTGATTTAGATTTGGTTACACACCAGTACAAGTAAGACTCAGCTGCCTGGCTAAGAACAACTCTATCTATGTCTTGGCGAATATGGGGGACAAGAAGCCATGCGATCCCCACAACTCCATGTGTCCTCCTGGCGGCTATCATCAGTACAACACCAACGTGGTGTATGATGCGGAGAGGAAGTTGGTGGCGCGCTACCATAAGGTAAGAGGGGCGGCTATGTAGAACGGAGCCTGCTCTGACGGTGGTGGGTGCGGGGTTTAGGAGTCTGAGCGTCTTTCCCTATACGATGTGATGTTACTGGAGATTTTTTTTTTAAAGGGAGCAATAAAGAAAATGACATTTTAGAAGAGAACTAATCTGAATAAATAAAAATGTAGGCAGAGACCTGTAAGAAAGGTGTGGTAATAGTCCAGGATTGAGATAATTTTTTGCATATATAAAACAGGTAATTTAAATGTTGATACAAAAGATACTAAGATGACTGATCTGGATACCATTTAACACTGAAATGATACAAAGATGTTTCCAAATTGTATGAATCAGTTTCAGGGAAATTAATTTCCCTGTTTTCTATCAAATCACAAAAGTGATCTTTCTATTTATTTTCTACACCAATTAATTAGTTACCCTCTTAATCGGTTTAAGGTCAAATCATGAAACTTTTACTTTAAACTCTGAACTGAAAGAGTAAAATATCCTGAAGTCATAATTTAAACTAAATTGCGTAGAGAGGCTGGCCTTTTAAATGGACATGTCACGTGCAGGTCAGTGTGCATGTCCCTCTTCCTCCCCCATATTTTTCTAAGAATCTTAAATTATAGCCTCACAATCTTTTCAATGGAGAAGTGATCTCCTGCAAGTCCCAGTTAATATATAAATATTATTCCAGAGGAGTGATATTAGATGAATAGTTTTCAAAGGTTTTTGATCATATACCCCAATCATAAAAAATTTTTAACATGAGTCCAAATTTTTGTATTTATAAATAAAACACACAACTTTCAAAAAGTTTTCTTCATAACCTTGTGGCTTTCGACAACTTCTTTTCATATGTAATTAAACTTTCGTGTTCTCCTCAAAAGTGTGTTTCATGCCAGGAATAGAAATGTCAGCTCTTCAGTTTCTTGTTTTTGAGACTGTGTTTACATTATGGCTATCATTTTTTAATGCACTTTCTTTGCAAGAATCATGTTAAGCTCTTTTTCTATCTGTAAGTGTTGATTTAGTAAAACTGGTAGCATAGTTTGGTCAAACCACTTAACCAGGCCCCAGTAAACTGCAGGATGGCACAGTGCGATGTTTGCTGACAAGCTAGTGAGGAGCCTTCGGTCATCCTAGTCCTAGGGGAGGGGCTCTTGCTCTCCTCTCAGGGTACTTCAGAGACAATTTGAGACCCACAACCTCTGACATATGGACCTAATCAGAGTGCCTTTGTCATTCAATTCTTAAAATACTAGTAAAGTTCAATTTCTATTTTAGGTTTTAGATAGAAAATAAATTTAGAGAGAAGTTTTAATAGTCTTATTCCCAACCCTTGGCATTCCCTACTTTGCAGACCATTTTATTAAATTGTTGACCCTGATTATTATATTAGACAGGGCAGTTTTTCAAGTTTACCTGAAAGGATTCCAGAAGAATTAAATGAAAAATTCATTTTCAACAGCAATTTTGAAAGGGGGGTAAGAGTCCCTGAGATTACTTTGGATGGGACACTGTAAAGAGGCAGGTGGCATCCCTCAGCCTATTAGCAGGTATTTATTGTGCATCAGGGGAATCCCTGAGACCTAGAGACAGAAAAAAGCTTCTTCAGCTCTCAGGAAGGTATTTGGCTCCTAATTGAGAGAGGGGGAAGGTAGGTAGGGAGAGAAAGAGAGATTGAGAGAGAGAGAGAGAGAAGCTATAATTCTGCAAGCTTTCCTTGGAAGTTTACTTCCAATCACCAGATTCATTCACTTCCTATAGATTTCCTGCTGTTGACCATAGCCAAAGCGATTACTAACTTTGGATGGTTTTTACAGATTATTGCTTCAAAAAACAAGCCTTTCCTGGTTTGTTCCTATTCATTTATTACAGTACCACCTCTACTTTGAGCCTCAGTTTGATGTCCCTGAAAAGCCAGAGTTGGTGACTTTCAACACCACCTTTGGAAAGTTTGGCATTTTCACCTGCTTTGATATTCTCTTCCACGACCCTGCTGTTACCCTGGTGAAAGATTTCCATGTGGACACCATCCTGTTTCCCACAGCTTGGATGAATGTCTTGCCCCTTCTGACAGCTATTGAATTCCACTCAGCTTGGGCTATGGGCATGAGAGTTAATCTTCTTGTGGCCAACACCCACAATATCGGTCTGAATATGACAGGTAATTCATGACCGGGTGAGGTCTGCAGGTACACCTCTTGATGCAGAGAGACGAATGCCTCAGATATGACCTGTTGTCATGTGTGACTTCCTTGTTGGGACTCCTCACTCTGTTTGTCTGTCTTTCACAACAAAAGACAAGCTGATTATGACAGTTATGATTGCCTTAAGACCTTTGTGTGTATTATTTCATTTATCCTCACAACAACTCTGTGGGATGGATGTTATCATCCCAATTTTACAGATTGGAAAACTGAGACACGCAGAATGCAAGTAACTTGCCAAAAGCTACCAGCCAGTAAGTGGCAGAGCATGGAAGTAAACAGGATTTGCTCTAACACTGGCAAAGGGCAGAGGAGTATATTATTGACATGTTGCTGTGTAACAAATTACCCTAAAAGTGAAAAGTGGCTTGAAACAACAAACATTTATCATCTCACACATTCGTTGGTCAGAAATTTGGGACTGGCTTAGCTGGGTGGTCCTGGCTCAGGCTCTCTCTGCAGGGTACATCAAGCAGTAGCTGGGCTGCAGTCATCTGAAGTCTTGACTGGGGTGGTCAGGTCTGCTTCCAGGATAGCGGCCTCACATGGCTCTTGGCAGGATCCCTTGGTTCCTTAGTGGCTGTTGGCAGGAGACCTTCATTTCTTGCCACTTGGTCCTCTCCACAGGGCTGCGTGATGGATCCTCATGGGGTGGCAGCTGACCTCCTCCAGAGCAAGTGAGAAGAGAAAGAGAGAGAGAAAGATGGTGGTGGGGGGGATGGGGGGGTGGGAAGCTATGCTGCTGTTTATACCTAGTCACACGTTCACTCCTCCATGTTCTAATCATTAGGAGTGAGTCACTACTAAGTCCAGCCTGCGTTCAAAGGGAAGGGAGTAGATCTACCCAGTGGAGGGAGGAGCACTGAAGAACTTTTGTATAGATTTGAAAACCACCACCACAGTAGGGAACAGGAGAGAATTTTGCATTACCTTTCCCCACCTTTGGGGATACAAAGATTTTTATATTTGGTTTAATTTTCTGTAATGCTAATAAATAATCCTATTATATTCAAAGTCTATTTGAAATGAGACCATTGAACATCTATTTTAATTTGCTCTGATAGAGAATAGGAGAAGTACTTAGGTGTTGGGTGTAACTAGAAGTCTGTGTGCTGTTTCATTGTGACTAACATGGTGATATGACCACATGTGCAATTCTGATGGGGGAATTGGCAGTGTTGGTTTTGTTTTTGTCTTAAAAAGACTTGTCTTCCATTCACAGGCAGCGGCATCTATGCACCACAGTCTCCCAAAGTATACTATTATGATATGCAAACAGAGATGGGAAAGCTCCTCTTTTCAGAAGTGGATTCACATCCCCGAGTCTCTCCTGCCTACCCGGCAGCTGTGAATTGGCATGCCTATGCCACAACCATCAAGCTATTCCCAGTGCAGAAAAACGCTTTCCAGGGATTTATTTCCCAGGATGCTTTCAACTTCACAGAACTTTTTGACAATGCAGGAAACCTTACAGTCTGTCAAAAAGATCTCTGCTGTCATTTAAGCTACAGAATGTTAGGGAAGGAAGAGAATGAAGTGTATGTTCTGGGAGCTTTTTCAGGACTTCGCGGCCGAAGGAGACGAGAGTACTGGCAGGTAATTTCAGCTCAAGTGAAAGGGAGCACTTAGGTGTCAGGACAGGTAAAAGAGTTAACTTTTCATATTTGTCCCAGGGAGCCGAATGCTTTTTCCTGGCATGACTCCACGCATTGTCGATATTACACACACACCCACACATGCGTACACACGCACGCACGCACACATACTTTGGTATTAATCATATGATATTTGCAATGGGAGTTAAGTATAATCTGATTGCTTGCTTTGAGCAAGCAATTTTTTTTTAAAAAAATTATTAACCTGACCATGGTGATTTTCTGTTTGACTAATAAACTAGTTTACATATTAAGGCTTCCTTAAGTAGCTTTGCTGACATATCTGAATATAAACGGTCTTGTTTTAACTTTTAAGACCATCAATGAGTAGGAATACAACTTTTATCTTCGTTTCTCTTATAATCAGATGTCCTGGTCATTTTATTCCCTTCCAATGATAAATATTTAAAATGCAAACTTTTTATATTGTGTTGGCTATGCATATGTGTTTTCTTATTATATTCTGTGCCCTACTGCCTTCTTCTAAAGAAAAGGATATGGAAAAAAGAGGTGGTCAAAGTTTAATCATCTCTGTAGTGTTAGTACTACTGTTGCCCAAAGACCTCCACTCTCTTGGGTCAAGTGCCATCATCTGACATGCTGAACTAGTGGTTTAAGTCTAACTCTAAACTGACTTCTTTCTTTCAATCTACTTGTTACCCAGGAAGTGGGGTTGGTTCTCAAGTCATTTGCCATTTCCAATAAAGCAGTTAATTATAAGAAACATGATCCAAATCTCTTCAACAAGTGGAGAAAATACTTGCTTTGCTATGGTTCTAAACTGAGTCAACAGTTCTAGTACAAGTAACTTTGATGTAAAGCATTGCATTTTGTCTGTATCTGTTCCGCATAGGTGTGCACCATGCTGAAATGCAAAACTACTGATTTGACAACTTGTGGATGGCCAGTAGACACTGCTTCTACAAGATTTGAAATGTTCTCCCTAAGTGGCACATTTGGAACAGAGTATGTTTTTCCGGAAGTGCTACTTACCAAAATTCATCTGTCTCCTGGAAAATTTGAGGTAGGAAGATTTTAAGGGTATTTGCATTTGTTGTGTTCTCTGAAGCCAGGTGAAACACGCTATGGCAATTTTATTGGTTAACTTTCGTTGTGTAACAAACTTCCTCAAAACTTAATGACTGAGCAATAATCATTTCTTTAGCCCTGATTCTGTGGTTGGCAATGTGAACTGGGTGTAGCCACGCTGTTCTTCGGGTCTGGAACGAGTCCAGTTGATGTTGACTGGTCCCATTCACACACCTGTCATTAGCTAGTGGATTGGTTGGGGCTGGCTGGTTTGTGAGGCCTTGTCGCGGACAGCTGGGATCGTTGGGCCACTTCCTCCCTGTGGTCTCTCTTCTTACAGCAAGCTTGGGCTTGTTCACTTGTTAGTTGAAGGATCCCAAGAGCATCAATAAAGAAAACCACGTGGGCAAGTTCTTTTCAAGTCTCTGCTTGCACCATGTTTACAAATGTCTCATGGACTGAAGCAAGTCACGTGACCAATGTAGACTCACGAGGCAGAGAAATAAATGATGCAGATCTCTCAGTGGGAAGAGCTGTAAAATCACATTGCAACAGGGCACGGGTAAAGGAGGGGAAAATTTTGTGGCCATTTTTACAATTTACAACAACTAACTCTAAAGTGATGACACTTCATTGGAATCATGATAAGATACCTAGAACTTATGAGCCTGAGGCACCTTTCATTGACAAATGTTTGTTTATAGAGTTTTAATTTTCTTTTCTCTCATGCGGGGACAAACAGAAAAAATATCACGTTACAGTGGCGATAATCAATTAATTCATAAGCTGGCCTCAAATTAGAATTAAGACTCAGCAGGTTTATATTTGCTAGTATACAGCACATGCGCGCACACACATACACACACACTCCACCAGTCTGAACCTTAATGTCTTCTCTGAATTGTGGCAAACACTGGCAGGGCTTCAGTAACTAGAGTGAAGTCATTGCATTTTCTATAAAAGAAAAATAGCATCTGAGTGAATTCATCTCAGGCATTGAGCAAGGAAATCTTTAAAACTACAGATTGCTTGTGGTCATAAATCTGTGTCTCCCTGTATTATCAGATTGGGAAATGTCACATTTATAAAAATATTTAATTCTGTGAAACCAACGGTTTACCATACAGTGCAGCCTTAAGGCTGGGAAACCCGGAGAACAGGAATCTTTGGCTGCTATAGAACCTGGTTGGGTAGAATCTCATGAGAAAATGAGGCTGGAATAAAAGCTTAAATGCCAACTACAGAAAATCATAATCGGATCTGAAGGGAGGGATCTGGAACTGAAATCTAGTAGTTAAAAGGTGGCACAAATAAGCATAGATGAATTGAAAATGTCTGGGACCACTTAAGGAGGTGAGAGAAGAGAGAGCAGGGTTCACACAGGTGAGCTGAGGAAGGGGTGGGGTCTGGGATCATAGAAGCTCTGCATCTTGTATGCCCTGCCATTGAAACTGAGCACACAATCTACCTTTCTGGGTTCTATTTTGACATTTTCCCCACGTCATATACTCATAGAAATGTATCTCCTTGAGGAATTATCCTGGAGTGGAACTGAGCATGTATCTCCCAAAAGCATCTCATCTGTGGGAGAAAGACAAAAAACTGGTAGTTTTCCAGACCCGGCGAAAGGTCCAGAGCCAGAAATGACATTTCACTATCCCTCTGAACCACATCAGATTTGAAGAAGATGGATGGTGGTGGTAGTTGATGAGGAGTTGGAGACCATAAAGAAATTAGTCCACAGCCACCTCCTTTCTTTGTTTTAAATTTTTTGTCTTAAATGGTTTCAGACAGTTGGGAACATTTAGAGAATGATACAGAAAAGTAAAATGTTAAGTACTTCACTGTATAGTATTCGTAGGTCTCAACTCTTAACACTTCTCAGAACTTGTCGTGCTATCTCCCATCTCTGGGTACTGACTGCTTATTCTTGGATGGAAAGAAGGAGGGAAGGGAGAGATTGCAACTGTGCTTTAAATTAGGCACTTAACAGTATAATTACCGTTTGGATCGTGTCTCATCTACTCCTGCTCATTTGCTGAATGATAAGATGAGATATAGATTGTGTTACCCCCAAAAGCTATCAAGGAGGCGTTTGGCTGCTGGCAGGCAGGATTTTTGGTACAGAACTTCCATGGAGGGGGCCGTGTGGCCAGAGTGCTGGTCTTCATTTTGCAAGTGTAGATTCTCTATGGCATGGTTTTCCCTGAAGTTCATCAGATTCTAAGGAACAGACACTAACCAAACTCACAAGATGGGAGGAAGAGAGGACCAGTTTATTATTATTTTTTAAAATAGATTCTCTTAGCTGGAGAACAATGAACTGTCATCTTGAGGAGGCTCTCCATTGGCAAGTCCTCTCAAGAGTCCAAACTATGGATCAGAAGTTTGTTTTGTGAGCACGGAATTAAAATAAAAGGGGTTGGGTGTTCATGGAGCAGATTTCTATGGAGCTATGGTAGCCTGTGGCAACGTGCTTCTCCTCTCTAGAGCTGGTTACCTCAAGACCACGTTGAAGTGGGGTGCCTACTTTCCTCAAAAAGGGCCAAATAAACAGGAACCAATTCTCGATTTTTTTAGTTATTCCTTCTCTAGAGAATTTGCTGATCATGGCCCTCCTGTTAACATATTGTTTCTAGAGAGACCAGTTATAACATCATAGATGATAAATTTTTCACCTGAGTTATGCCAGCCAGGTCTTCTGGAGTATTTCCCGAGTTTCCTTGACTGACGCACTCTCCATCAGCAAATATTTACACATTAGCTTAGAGATTCACTTCTGCAGAGATCTCAACACATTTACTGAATATCTTTCCCCACCCCTAGTTTTATGCTAAAAGCATGAAGTGTTATTGACCACGACCACAAATATGGAAAACATCTTACTTTAACGTTATAGACAATTCTGGTATATCATCAGAAGTATGATCTCTGCAACTAACTAGTTATGTAACCTTATGCAAGTCAGTTAACCTCTGAATTTCCTACCTGTAAAAGGGAGAGAATATCCTCCTCACTGATTTGGTGAGGATCAAATATGATAATGTGTGTGAACTCACTTTGTGAACAGTGAAGTATTATACAAATTTCAGGATCTATTTTTAAGTACTTACTACAAAAGGCTTATCTGGTTAACCAAGTTCATTAACAATGAGGAGGAATGGACCACATGTATTGAACATCATGTAAGTATAGATCAATGTGCAGATGGGCTGGAGGAGTAAGTGGCCAGGGCCCACTCCAGATCCAGTAAATTAGAATCTTGTGAAGGTGGAACTGATATTTTTTCAGAGTTCCACAGGTGATTTTGGTGGGTAAGAACTACCAGTTTAAGGGAATAATCAAAAAGGTCAAACTATATTTAGTATGTACTGCCTAGGAGGCAGTAAATTGTGTATCATTTTATATTTTAGGAAAATGTCTAATAAGCAACTGGTGAAAATGCTAAGTTTTAGCTAGAATCTGAGAGAAAATCCCTGATCTGGAACAGTTATTCCCAAGAAGGTCAAAATAGACAAAATTTAACCATATTGATGAAAAGTCACTAGAAAATAAGATATTTGTGTTTAACTTGTTTCAAACTTACCCAACTCTAATTTGAAATACAGCTCTGGTATTTCAATTTTGTGTCTTTAATGAACAATTTAATAAACAAGGAACAATTTATAAGCAATGAACACTTAATGAACAATAAACAGGGAACTTTTAATGTTTTATTTTGTTCATTTAATTACTGACAGGTTGTGTGTTTGACCACTAGTTAGTAGTCTGTGTCTTTGTGGGTCTGTGATGATCACGACAGTAACGCTCTTCTAGGATATTCAATTATTTTCTTCTTCCAGTTATGAAGTATCTGGTTTCTCAGTTTCCAAGTTCTCCCCATCCAAATTGTCCTTCCCACAACTGATGGATGCATTTTCTTTTGTTCTTGTTCCGTGTATTGTCTATCTATTTGTGTTTCTTTCTATTCTTGTTCCCTTACTTTGCATGCTTTACTCCCTCACAGAGAGGCCTCTGTGACTTCAGCATCCATCTGGTCATTCATGGCTTTCACAATCTGATCCCTACCTTCCTCTTTGACCACACAGCTTCTTTCCCTCTTCACCAGTCTTCAGCTCTAGCCAGTGGTGTGCTGTAAATTTTAACAACCCACTCTCTGAAGAAGAAAAGAAAAAGCCCTGATTTGTGGCATTTGCCAATTTTCATGGCATAAATCTTCCCACTGCGACCAGTTTCAGGAAGGACTATGTTTAACAACCAGCTGTCAAAGTTCCTGGAAATTTGACAATCTGTTCTAGCAAGCATGCACACCATCGGCTCCAGCACACCGCTGGTTCTAGCCAGACTGGAGTGAGAAAGCTCATTGCCTAGATCTGTCACACATACTTCTGTCTCAGAAGGAGCCTTTGCTGCTTCACTTTCCACTTCCCATGACATCGTCTGTCATGCAGCCCCGGGGAGACATTCGTTATCTGCTCCTTCTTGTGGCAGGTTGTGTCCCCCTCTGGGAAGCTGACCAGTCCCGCTTGTCCGTCACAGACCTCCTAAGCACTTGTCTCTTTCCCTCTCTAATACACTGATATACTGATTTCTCTCTGTGCTCAGTGGCTGCTCAGTTTCACCTTTAACTTTTGAGCTTCCTGAGGGAGGGGTCTGGTTTGTAAACCTGTAGGTCCCGCTATCTCACACGTAACTGGACTCATAAGCTTTGCTGCTGCTGCTTTTTGACTTTTTATTAAGGGTTACATTTGATTGTGGAAACTCAAATATTGAGCCCTGTGGCTCTAGTCCTCGTTACATATAAAATAGCTGTCCACTTCCCATCCTGCCTGTTCTCCACTCCCCACCCTCACCAAACTGGAACTACTTGATCAACTGTGATATCTAGGATTGCTTCACAATCATCAGTCTGCTTGTAATGCATATTTTAATCAAGCTGACTATGCTTTTCCCACTGTTTCTTTAGGTGCTACAAGATGGGCGCTTGGTGAACAAGAATGGACCATCCGAGCCTATCCTAACAGCGTCACTCTTTGGGAGATGGTACACTAAGGACTCACCTTCCATCCCAGGCGGGACCAGCAATTCAGCAACAACACACCTGGCTCACACCTACTTTATTGATGATGGTAGCTTTGCAGATAACATGATGGGATAGGACGTCTCTTTATTGCATTCATTTTTGCAGCATATACTCTGCTAAATGTGTTTATCAGGTTCCCAAGTTTACTAAGAAACTTTGAAGGGCTATCTCAATAGTATAGACCAATGATTTCTAAGTGTGTATTTTTCTCAGCAAGGATTATTTTTAAGTATTATGGTGATTTCACCCCTTTTTTGGCTACTCTGAAATGTTGCAGTGCAGTATAACGGAAAGAGCATGGATGTTTGGGTCAGACAAATGAGACTCAAATCCCAGCTCCAGCCTTATTGGCTGTGTGGTCTTGTGTGTGCTTGTGTGTGTGAGAGGGAGCAGAGTGAGGAGCTCCAGGGCCATTGTAAACATAACCATGGCCTTTGAAGAGACCAGTAATGATGGGATTGAGAGGGTTATGACATTAAAGACAGTTTGAACTCATCTAGTTTTCTGTGCTAATGATTAGGGGGAAATTTGCTTTCCAATCAGGTGGTAATATTGAAGTTTATCTTAATAATGACAGTTGTTTTGAGATGTTCTAGAAGAAATGACAGCTAGACTAGGTTCATATCAAAGGTGACCATCCAGAGTATTCATAGCCCCAAAAAGTCCTACCTGAAGACTGTGGTATAATTTAACAGGCACAAATCCCATAACACAAAAACCGTGGCTGTTAATAACACTATTTTCAACACTGGTAGTCTACTTTTTTCAAAATACATATATCTCAGGCTACTTGAAATGTAAGAGCATATTTGTTACTGATCATTTATTGCAAATATTCTTGAAATTAAAGAAATGACTTTGAATTTCCAGATTTTTTTCAAATTTTATATCTCTAAAGTGATTTTGTCTAATATTTTTACATTAAAAAATCACAATTGAGGCATTTATGTTTTTGTTTCTGTGTATTGTTGTATATCTACTCCTTATGGATTCAATTAGAATATTCCATTAAAACGCAGTAGGAAGTTAAAATGACTTTTATAGTCAAGTGGTTACTAGTAGGAGAAGGGAAATAGAAGTTAAGGCACGTTTTGTGTTTGATTTTGAGAATGGCTTATATGGTCCTTGTGTTCAAAATTGGGACCTCAGAGATGGTCATTTTAAAGTGGTGGTGAATATACATATATACAAATAGTTTAAATCACATAATCATCACAATCATCTGTTCTTTTAACTTTTCGTAAAGTATAGAACACTTCAGATTTGCCAGGTTTTGCTTGAGGAAGTTATGCATTATGCAATGGTTTTGCTGTGTGTATGGTGACACATCATCTTGGGCAATGATATTTCACTTCCAGAAGTTTCAGTGTTGCCTGGGAGTCAACAGCTGATTCTAAACCCAGCAGTTGGAGAAAGAGTCAAGCAAAGGTCTCCGCACAGATTCCAAAGGACAGACAGCTCTTCTGCTGATTCACATTTAGAGCTGTTCACTGTGCTTCAACTCACTAAAAACAAAAAAGAAAATACACCAAGCTCCAAGGAAGAGAGTTCTTGACTCAATTGTGAAGTTGCTTGCATTACAGCATTTTAGCTCCAACCTCCTCAGCCGTTTATGCGCACACTCATTTTATTGTACCAAAGGACTCAAGTGTAGCTTGGTTTGGCCTTGATTTAGGGAAGTGCACCTGAGGGCGTAGCTCTTTGGTTTCTAAAGAGTCTAATGACAGAGTCCGATTTCTTTGATAATCATCTTTCCAGCTCACCTTAAAATTTCGTGATGGTTCTTGAGTCCCTGTGGTTCTGCAGGGAGTAAACAAGCCTCTGGTTTTCACGTATTCAACTTTCCCCAGGCCTTTGTTCCTGACATGCCTTATTATGACTTCCCCTGTATTATGAACCCATACCCTCCACCTGCCTCAGCGTCCTCTCGGCTTACCCTCCACCCTTTGTCCTTCCGTGTAATAGCAGGCATTGATTTCATGCTGTGTTTCATGCTCTGGGTCCTGGGACATTGGTCTATGCATTCGCATTGCTCTCCTGGCCACTCTGTGACGTTGCCCCTGTGGTATGACTTATTCCAGTAATTTCTGTGATACACTCACAGCCTACTCCACAATTATCACGGTCCCTACTTTCTACTTTGTATTCCTTCTTTGCATTCTGATCCATTCTCATGGCTTCAGCTCGTTCCAAAAGTGATTTCCATGGCATTCTTTCTGTTTTGACCTCTTTCTTCAATTCCATTCACATTTCTAACTCCATTCTGATCATCTGTACTAGGTATTCCACAGAGGATAGTGTCTAAAAGAAATCTGAGGGCAGATGCCTGTTCAGGTAAATACGGTCATAACACACACACTCATCCACACACATAGATACTTCTAATAAAGGCATTGTTGAAAAGATATCTGAATGTAGAAACAGTAACAACTGTGAAGAGGATTCCTTGAGACCTGAAGTATTTGGAGTGGGAAAGAAGATATTTCAACAATCTCTCAGAGAATGTCCAGGCCACGTGAAGATAAGTCAAAGGAGAAAAATAATGGGGATGAACTGAGTGATTTTAGTTTCCATGTCTTGAGGAATCTTGTGACATCTTACTTAGGGAAATATGGATTGGACACCCCAGTGATAGCTTCCGTCAGTTATAAGAGCTATGAGCCCTTGGTCCCCTGCTCCTTTTATGCACTTTTCATTTTTTATCTCAGAAGCTAATTTTTTTATACTGTATGTTTCATTTATTCCTTTGAACTTGAATTTCAGTCCATTAGCTGGAGATTCAGTATTTCTTATGCTAACTCATTTTATATTATAATGCTAGTCTTTGATATTATAATTAATAATGAAAACATTTTAGGTGATTGCCAATTATAAATCTGTCATACATGTTGTTTGAAGATAAAGTCTCTGAGTCATTGATTTTTTTAACCCTTTATGAACAAAAAGAAAAGAGGCAAAAAAGGAGGGCAATGCTCTCTCTCTCTCTTTTTTTTTTGTGAGGAAGATCAGCTCTGAGCTAACATCTGCCAATCTTCCTCTTTTTGCTGAGGAAGACCAGCTCTGAGCTAACATCTATTGCCAATCC